GTTTTGTGATTCTTGATGTCAGATTTATGTCCATTTATTCTTTGGCGTAAGGTTTGGCCTGTTTGTCCAATATAGAGAGCTGAAGGACACTGTTGGCATTTGATGCCATACACAATGTTAGATGATGAGCAATTGAATAGTCCCGAGATGGTATGTGTGATGTTGTTGGGGCCAGTAATGGTGTTGTCCGGGTGTATGTGGCAGCAAAGTTGGCATCTGCAAATTTCAGAAATAGACTGGAAAGAGAAGCTGCTGAATTGCAACTCATTACCAAACTTAAAACCATGGAGAGACCTGGTTTGAACAAAGACATTGGATTCTTATCCCATTATACATGACTAAGCCATTTCTCACCTTCTCACCCCTTGCCTTTTCCTGTAAGACCTATTACAGTCGTTAAGAGTCGTCAGCAGGCTCATCTCAGCTATCTGCCAATCTCCCATTCCCACCACCCTTCTGAGTAATACCCTCCCCACCTTCTCACTATATAGAAGGATCTGGCAACTTCTGTTTCAGTGTATCTGAAGAAGTGTGCTTGCACACGAAAGCTCATACCAAGAACTAACTTAGTTGGTCTTAAAGGTGCTACTGGAAGGATTTTTTTTATTTTGACTATGGCAGACCAACACGGCTACCTATCTGTAATTGAAAATGTTACCATGTTTTAAGAATATATTGTTTATCCTCTATAATAGGAATATATTGCTTGTTCTCTATAATATGGCACATTCAGCCATTGAATACTGAGGTGAAGGAATAAAAATGGGAAACAAAAAGATTTTGGACACAACAGGCTGTTTGTGTGTCCCTTTTTCTTTTAACTGCAGTTTGGGAGCAGTAGTCTTATCTGACAAATTAAATGTTTGAATTTCATTGATGGGTCTCTTAAAAATCCGCAATTGTTCTTAACTGGGTTTATCTTTATAAAACTGGGAGCCTGATTTGTGTGTTGAAATGACTGAGGCACCATGGTGTATTCACTGATTTTAATTTCATCAGTAGACTCTCATTACCTTTAAGGCTCTATTCAAAGAGCAATACCTTAGACTCATTTGAATTCAGCCTCCACAATATCTTTTTGTTTCAGCTCTTTAGCAACTGAACTCAGTGTTGGATCATTGGCTAGCAATGTTCCAAGAGTGCATAGCTTGTTTCATTTAAGATGCATCCCCCTATCAAGAACAAGCAGCTCATTTGTGCATATATTTGCTGTGACTGAAGAAAGCAATTTAACAAAATATCTTAACAGATGGCTTAAGAATCTCAAAATCTTGATTTAATTAAGAAATATCCTGCCCACAGATGGCAGTTTTTGTGTGAAATGTAAAGCAGCGATCCAGTACTTGGTCATGGGGTGACAATGCTGTCCATTTTAAATGAAATTTATTCAGATTCATTTAGTTGCTCTGAAAATAAACCATACAGCCCCTAATTTGTAAGGGGTGTTTGGTGTGTGTGCACACACCTTTGAAAGATTTACTTGATTTGTAAACATATTAAGTAGTGGAACCGGAGCTCTTTATACGTACCTGCACAGGTATGGGAGCAACCATGTTGAGAAAAGCACAAGTAAATGAAGCCTTGAATATATAAGCAATCAAGTTGCAAGCACAAGGCAATGCAAGTATCAGAAGTTTGTGGCTTCTCCCACCGCTAAATGCATTTTATCAATTGTTGTTGCTTCTGTAACCTTTATGACATATGAGCCTGCAAAGATGTAATTTTAATACCTGGCACCATGACTAGGCTTCAGGAGTGCACACAAACAGCATCTAGTAAATTCCATCTTCTGTGAGCCAGGCAAATAATGGTCATGACATTATGCAAGATCCTTCCTCTTCCCCAAAAGGTTTGTAAAATCATACCAAAAAACTGTAAGCACATTTCACATCTGATTTCCTGGTTCACACAAGAAACTATTAGTATGCCAGACATAGATGATACAGAGGCCATTTCCCAGTCCAGCTGGAGATCACCTCAGGCCTCAGTTCCTGAAATGGACCTTAGATTTCTATTTTACACCCACCCCCCACACCACAGCCTTTACAACTAGGGAATATGGAAAGAAATAAAACTGTACAACCTCTCCTCCCAAAAAACCAACACCCCATGTCCTCACATGAATTATTATTTTTTTGCGCTAAGCTCTGACAGAGGTTGATGGAAAGTAGATGTGACATGATGTTTTACAAATGTTAGTATTATAATGAAATCATTTTCTGCAGGTGCCTTCTGATAGCCTAATTAGTATAACATCACCCATGTTTGAGAACCGTTTCCTCACTCCCCTCTTTTTTTGCAGCCATCTGTTTTGTCATAAAGGACTGTTTCCAAGCCATATGCATGCTATCGCTTACTCTTTGTCTTCTGATTTCCCATTTGCATCCTCTGGCTTCAGAATCAGACTAGGAAAAAGGGGTCAAAAGCCCCACATACTTTCATAGAGAGGCAAGGGGGGGGGGAGGAAATTTCAGCAAAATAATTGAGGAGTAGAAAGCTTTCTTTGACTTGCTGAAGCAATTGGTTTGATTTGTTTCTTTGATGACTGCACTTCAAGCATGATATGTATATTGGAACTCACACACAGGTCTGCATCCGTGGAAGAATTATAGCTGATTGAGGAACCACGTATATAAGGTGGTACTCTACATGTTATTCTTCCCAGGCAAGTGGCCCAGGGACGCTCACGGGAAGTAATCTTCAAAAATTTGGGTTTGGGAGGTACATTGGACAGAGGTACGTGTAGCGTGGCTATCAACACATTTTTTCCTCACATTTTTATAAAGTGGTACCTCAGGTTACAAACACCTCGGGTTACAAACACTTTGGGTTACAGACTCCGCTAACCCGGAAGTAGTACCTTGGGTTAAGAACTTTACCTCAGGATGAGAACAGAAATCGTGCGGCGGCAGCAGGAGGCCCCATTAGCTAAAGTGGTACCTCATGTTAAGAACAGTTTCAGGTTAAGAACGGACCTCCAGAACGAATTAAGTTCATAACCAGAGGTACCACTGTATACTAGAACTCAGGGTCGCCCAATGAAATTGTTTGCCAGTAGATTCAGAGCAAAGAAAGTGCTTCCTCACACATGATGTAATTGGTTTATGGCATCTGCTGTCATAAGATGTGGCTGGTGCCATCATGAACCCACATGAAAATGGCAAGTTTTGGAGGAAGCCAGGCTTTATACTGTGTGTGAAGAGCCTGCTGTGACTTGTCTTTTTAATGTTGCGTCCGCCTTTGCTTTAGTTATTCTGCCTTGTTTCAAAAGGGAGGGGTGAAAAATGACAATGTTTTCATATTTCAGCGTTTTGGAGAATCTGCAATCACACAGTTCTGCCAGGAAGGAAGGAAGGGCACAAATAGAAAGTTCCCATATGTATCTGACCTAGGGAAAAAACTTTCTGGGATAAACCATTCAGCCCCTTATTTGCAAGGGGTATTGTGGGGCGGGGGGTTGTGTATGCGCCTTTGAAAGACAAAGCTGTAAGACATTTGTGGAACTTTAATTACCTTTAACTTTCTCTGTGGGATGAGATAGTTTTGAAAAGAGTTTTGAAAAGAAATTACTTATCGCTATCAACGCTCTTTAATTTTTCCTGATATGGCTCATGAGACCATTCCGTAGATTAAGCTTTAAATCTCTTAAGAACGAGCTCGTTAAAATAAGAATGTAATTTTACATAAAAAAAATTAAAACAATCAGCTGTGATATTTTGGCCTCTTTACAATGTCACAATATCTGTGTGTTTAACCCAGGCATGTCCAAAGTCCATTTGGGGGGCCTAATCCGGCCCTCCGGTCGGTTTAATCTGGCCCCTGTGGCAGTTTATTTCCTGGGGTTAAATTCCAAAAAAACCTCAACAACTTCAATCCTAAAAAAAGGTTAACAACTTTGGTTGGCACTTTGGTAGGCCCTCACGGCCCTTAACTTCATCAAATCTGGCCCTTTTTGAAAAAAGTTTGGACACCACTGGTTTAACCCCATGGATGCTGGGTGGTTATGAACAACAATTTCACCAGTGTCTTCCCCTCCCTCCATTTCAGGCTGTCCATCATGCCAGAAGTGACTAACACAGGGAGGTGAAGGCAGACAGCCTAATAAAAACTTATTCAGGGCTAGTAACCTGTAGATAGTGTTGCTTAGGTATCCCCCTGCTCTTCTTGATTTGGAATTGGCTGATCATGCCAACCTTTTCCCAATGATTTGGGAAATGCTTTCTGTCAGGCCTGATGTGGCCCAATTGACTCCCTCCGAGCCTGGATAAATGAATTAAACCAGTACATAGCAGAGGATTGAAAGTCTCCTTGGTTGCAGTCCTCTGTGGACTTTCCTACCTACTCTCCATCACAATATAAGTAAGGGAAGGGGGGAAATAAATGCTGGCCTGGCTGTGGCCAAGTCCTGAGGGAAGCCAAGCCGCACTTTGGAAGGGAGCAGGGTGCAACTATTTCCAATTGGAGGAGTTGGGAAATAAGATCAGTATTGGCAAGCTGGTGAAAAAAATAATGTGTCGACTCGAAACCTCATAACTACAGCCAGAGAGCTATTTTTCTAAGAAAAGAGGTGCCAGAACTCACCAGGAACACTTCCCTTGCTCTCTTACAATGGCAATGGCACCCACCTGAGAGGTGCTAGAACAGAGTTCCAGCTGGGGGGGAAAGCCCTGACTTTAGCTAGAATTTTCACTATGTTGAACTTAGAACATCATGTGAAATGGAATATGTCTGCGGATTTCTGTTCTCCCTTTGAGTGTGGTGGTACTTTCTGTGTATGAAAAGCTTTGCCATTTTGCTGAGAAATTGTTGGTGAATGAAGATGCATAACCAAATCACTGCATCAGAGATGGAAATGACACATCTCTAAACACAAATCATAATGGCTTTTCTCTCTGAGAAAACAGATTATATTTCCTACTGCATTAATTTTCTCCTTCTTTTCCCCTTTAATAAATGGAAAAGCAAGAGTTTCATTTTACCCTCTTTGCTTTACCAATTAAGTAAATTGATACTGTGACATGTTGTGGTTGCAGGAATATGCAAGTTACACCCCTGCAGTGGTGATGCCTAGTTTTTATTTGGACTTGGAGCCTGATCCTATGCACATTTACTTGGAAGCAAGCCCTTCAGGGTTTGATGAGGCTTTTTGTTGTTGTTTAGTCGTGTCCGACTCTTCGTGACCCCATGGACCAGAGCACGCCAGGCACTTCTGTCTTCCACTGCCTCCCACAGTTTGGTCAAACTCATGCTGGTAGCTTCGAGAACACTGTCCAACCATCTCGTCCTCTGTTGTCCCCTTCTCCTTGTGCCCTCCATCTTTCCCAACATCAGGGTCTTTTCCAGGCAGTCTTCTCTTCTCATGAGGTGGTCAAAGTATTGGAGCCTCAGCTTCACGATCTGTCCTTAGTTTCCTGATCTGGCTTAGTTTCCTGTAAATATTAACAGAAAGGTGTTACTCTGAGATCCTTTGTAAGTTATTGGGAATCAAATGTTTTGCACAAATTAATGATACAGAATTCCTTTCCTAAAACAATATTTGTTTATAGAGGTAGGGAATCATAGGACTGGCTCATTTTATGTGGCATTTATTAGACCACAGTTGAGTGGTGGTGAATTATAAACTCCTCTTCTGCATAGTTAAGATAGTAACTATGCTATTATATATTTGGAGGGGGTGTTGAGTCCATTCACAAGAGTCCTTACTTAAAAATCCAGGACTTCAATTAATTTAATTTAATTTAATTAAATAAATAAACTTGAATTAATTCAATCATTGAATCTATAAAAACAAATATATTTGACTTTTTTTGTCTCGTTTCCTGACAGAGAATCCATGTCTCTAATGCCTGCATAATAGGTAGAAATTCAACTGGTGCAGCTACCCTCAGCTTCAGTTTGGTAAAGCTTCCTGATCACCTGGAAGCTCTTATTTCTTGTCACAAGCAAGTAGCTATGTATAGTTCTTTGCACAGAACTATAAAAGAAAAAGGTGGCAGTCACTGAAGCAGACCCAATTGTCTTCTGTCACTATTGGAAGGAAACCCAATGTGTTTCCCTAGCCCTACAGAGGGATAGCACTGCTGGATGACATTTTGCAATGCTCATAACAACCACAATTGTGGGACTTCCGGGTCAGCGCCATCGGTGAATGGCGGAGTTCCTCCGACCGGAGGAATGGGCTCCGTGGAAACTGGGTCTTCCCGCCGCGGCGAAGGTGGGGACCCGCTAGAAATCCCAGGTGGAGGAAGCCTGGGAACGTGGGGTTTGGCAGGGCACCAGAAACGCCCCCCTACTCAACGGGAACCCCTTTTTGGGGCACCAGATCAAAGCGGGGTGAGCGGCGCGGTGCTGCGAACTGACTGCTACTTTCACGGAGTGAAGCCGCACAGCCATTGCCGGAGAGCGCTGACTTTTTCCTGTGGACAATTGGATTTAAAACAAGTACCCGTGAGTAGAAACGGAAAATTGGATCAAGAAATATCTTAATTTGGCATCGAAGCGGGAAGGTTCAAAACAGGAAGTCCGCCTTCCGCTTTTTGTATATAGACTAAAGCAAAACCTTCGTATGCTAACGCCTGGAAAGCTGTAAAGAAAAGGCTAAATTTCCTTCATTCAGAATTACTGAAACCCCCTTGGAAGCAGGAGAAAAGGGGGGGTTGTTTAACCCCTGCAGGAGAGGGAGTGAGAAGGATAAGTTTCCACCGTCTCTAACCTGGGAACGGGGTGTCAGAGACAGAAATTGTAGGTTCATTGACTGTGAATGGAATATTTTGACAGATAGTTAAAGAAGAGAAACAAGCTGATTCCAATGTTGCCTTTTGCATCTTAAAGAAACAAAATATCTGAAAAATATCTGAAAAATGAAAGTAATTTTCCTTTGTTGGACTTGCCTTAAAAAAAAAATGGATACAAATAGAAATTGTCTCCTCTAGAGGGAGCTTGTTAAATTGTTGCCACAGTATACTTGAGGACTCAACAGCTGTGAGATTAAGACCGTGGGAACAGTCTTTTCTGACCTTGCCTAAAGATGTGCTGGGAGGAAGATTGGGTGCTTGCCTTATGCAAGACAAGTGCCCTGTTGGAACAGATGCATGAGAAGATGGACTTGATGAATGAAAAAATGGATTTGACTGTTGTGGTTAATAACTGTGGACAAACAGGGAACATTGATATAGAAACTATTCAGGGACCAACTCATGAATCTGTACTGACTGGACAAGAACAGAAGATAATGGAGGAGGATGCGGTTGCACCTCAAATAATACAAATGGAGAGACCTGAGGCCCTACAGGAGCATAAGCCGCTGTCACTGAAGATTGAAGTTGGAATGGGCCAGGGGGAGTCTGGTGCTGAGGAGGTTCCTAACTTTGGAGAGACCTTGAAATATGTTTTTAAATACTTTTTGGATTTTATCGAGGACTGTGGGGAGTGGGACTTTGGGGAATGGATGGGTTTGAGGAAGAGAGATGGAGACAATTCTGGGTTGGAATCCCCCAGAGAACTACTCCTCAATGAGAAAGGAAAGGAATTAAGAAAGAGACCAACAAAAGACAAGGAAAAGGGCAAGTATAAACAACAAGAAGAAGAAATGCAGAAGGGCCATGGAAGAGACTTAAGGGCCTCGGACATAAGGCTTCCAGGTTGATGGACTAGATGGATTGGACAGTAAGGACTGACACGATCCGAGACCAGGAAGATGAGACGTTGGATGAAGATTGGAAGAAAATTTATAAAGAAAACTTTATTTAGGGAATTAGCTTAAAATTAATGAATATTAGGGAAAATGTTGGAATGAAACTATATGACTCTAGCAGAAATGATATCAGGAGTTATGTATATTTGAAAACTAAGATTCAAGCTTTAAGGTATTTTAGGGTAAGATAAGGTTAAATAAATTAAGGTAATTTGAATAACAGAATATGGGGAAAGATGGTAAGGATTTGCTGAGCTAATTATTAAGTTAAACTGTCAAGATAAATTTTTAAACAAAAATTGAGAAAGATGGAAAGAATTTGCTGAAATAACTAATTAAACTAGAATACAAAAAGGGAGGTGTGAGGAGGTCAATGAAACAAGCAAATGGAAGTTATAGATATGTAATTTGGGATCTATGTTGTTTTCTTTTTTCTTTTGTTTTCCTTTTTATCTTTTTGTTGTATTGTTGTATTGGTTTTTGTGTTTTTTTCTTTCTTTTTTTCCTATGTATTATAGTGTTGTTTTTTAATTTTTCTTTTTTCTTTACAACTTTGAAACTACTAATAAATATTATTTTTTTTAAAAAAAATAACAACCACAATTGTGCTTTAGTGCTTGAAAGGTACTAATGCATGTCTTTTAGAAGAGGGCAGCATCTCCTTTTATTCTTTTATATAGGACAGGTCAGTAAGATTAGGACAATTTCTAAATGCGTATGTTATCCAAAATAGCTGGCGGTTAAAGATTTAGAAACGTAATAATATTTTTACTGTTTGCTGTTGTTAAAAAAAAGTCATTCCATTCAGCGTGCATGGTGATAAAGAGTTTGTATGCAAGGTCTAAATCAACTCAAGAACAGGGGAGAATAACCCTCATATGAATGCTACGGTTGTTATATAAAGCTTGGCAATGACAAACATCATTAATGTCCAAAAGTATATACCAGCAAATACGTTTTACTCACACTGGAGGGCAAATAACATACTATAGGTAAATATATGCCATGAAGCTCCTTGGTGCTGTCTTTTTTTAAAAAAGGGAAAAACAGGTTTCGGGGTTATTTTGAGCAAAGGCCCTGTGAGAGATGGTTGTGTAAATTAACCATATTGTCGCCGCCAATATTTGTATGTGCTCCTGAAGCTCTTTTCAGCTGCTTTTTTCTGCAACCCTACAGGAGTCTAGATGTATGTCTGTGAACTGTCCAGGGTTCAAATGCTTGTCTGAAGCGGAGTCAGATGTTGCAAGTTAGTGCCTCACACACAAGCTGCATTCACGCATATACTTTTAAGTACCGTATTTTTTGCTCTATAGGACTCACTTTTTCCCTCCTAAAAAGTAAGGGGAAATGTGTGTGCGTCTTATGGAGCGAATGCAGGCTGCGCAGCTATCACAGAAGCCAGAACAGCAAGCGCAGCGATCCCTCTTGCTGTTCTGGCTTCTGAGATTCAGAATATTTTTTTTCTTGTTTTCCTCCTCCAAAAACTAGGTGCGTCTTGTGGTCTGGTGCGTCTTATAGGGCGAAAAATACGGTATATTTGTGGGTCCCTCCTCACTCACCCAAAGCAGCTGAGGAAACTAAAAGAGTTTTAGATAGGTGTCGTGAAATTTCTCATGAGATGGTGAGGCATCACGTCTCTTAAGTAGCTGTTGAATGGCATATTTTCGTATGGGTCCATTTTAGTCACTTACTTGTCAGATATAGGATATAGCAAGCGTGCATCTTTTGCTGCAGTCTACAAATAGTGTGGCATTTCTGTAGCTGAGTTTCAGAAACAGAGTGCCAGGCATGCTCTTTGTAGTGCAGACTGGATTGCAAATACAGGTCAGGTGAAACTGTGTTTCTCAGGGGGTTTGCTACTAAACGGCCGATTTATCCTACGTGTAAGACCTGATTACCCCTCTTGCTCCCCATTATTTCACAAATGGTGTCAGTCAAGCCTGCACCTGTATGAGTGGCATTTCGGCAACACACTTGAGCCTAATAAGTGCTGGCTGCCACAATTAACCTTACTAGTATTGCTAAGTATTTCTTACAGTTCCTTCCTTAACGGGTCAATTTTGATGAATTGCAGCCTGAAACTGCTGCACTCTGTGTAAAAACAGGGCCTTCAAGGCACAGTCTGTCACCTGCCAACCAAAGGGAGACCGTTCAAGTACACCTGTCATTTCTTTCACGTTGTACTTTCTCCTGGGCAGTTAGGGAAGGGGTTTTCTTTTCTTTTTTAAAAAAATAAATTTTATTGAAGTTATTTACAACACAAATTCACTACAACAACGAAAACAAATAAATTACCACCATAACATCTAAAACGAAACAAACTTAACAACAATACACTTACAACAAAGAAAAAACATAACAAAGAAATGAAAGACTTCCTTTATCCTGTACACGGCTTCCTTATTTACTTCTTATAAACTGTTTCCGGTATAGATAATTATTACTGGCTATTTTAAATTGTAACTTAAGAACCATAAATCCTCCTGTAGGAACTAATCGAAACAAGTCCAGGTGGTTATTTGGGGGCACTGCTTGATAAAATATTCTCTACATTATCCCCGTTTTTGAAATTCTTGTCTGGGGTGGCCCCTGATTGCCTCTGTTAGTCTGGCCAATTCAATATAATCTAATAGTTTATCCTGCCATTCCTTTTTTGTTGGCGTGATTTCTTTCTTCCAATTTCTGACAATTAAGTTCCTTGCCACACCTGTGGCATAGAGAAATACTTTTTGATTTTCTTTTGCTATATGTATATCTTTATCTGTTATCCCTAGTAGGAAAGCTTCTGTATTTTTCACAAAGTTGTATTTAATTTTTTTAAAAAAATTCATCATACACTATATCCCAGAAACTTTCGATTTTATCACAGGTCCACCAAATATGTATGAGTGACCCCTCTGCATTCTTACACCTCCAACACAAATTTGTTTTCGTTTTATACATTTAGCTATTTCGGCCGGTGTTAAATACTATCTATAAAAGATATTGCTTAGATTTTCTCTTAATGTTTCACAGGCTGTAAATTTCCAATTCTTTTCCCATAATTCCTCCCATGCTGATAAATTAATAATTTCCCCTATATCCAAAGCCCACCTAATCATCACCTCCTTAACTTGCTCGAGCAGCGAAGGGGATTTCATCCCTGTGTGTTTGTGGCTCCAGTATAAGCACAGAGCCTTGTATTTATCTCTTTCAGATGTTCACAGGAGCTTCTTCTCATGGCTGCACGATACACATAAATGTATGTCAGAATTGGAAGGGAGCACTGGGACACATCCCATAGAAAGGCCTGGGAACATAGGATTTTAGGAAGCATGGTCCCATAAGTGCAGAATAGGGGTGATGGATCAGTCTGTGGAGGCAGAGTCAATCAAAGGCCAGTATCCAAACCAAGAGGTCCATCTAAAGAAGAATTGAACAAGAATTTAAAAGGGAGGCAGATAGATGGACAAGGAAGTCAGAATCATGGTTGTGAGGCAGAAACTAGAAGATAAAAAGGCAGGCAGGCAGGATGACAAAAAGACACATCCAGAAAGAGACTTTAGGAACCACACAAGGCTGTAGCATCTTCTACCTGAACTAGAATTATTCATACCCAGGTAAGGAGGAGATTAAATCAGCTTCTTCCAGAGGCAGACTGAGAGCAGGGTGGAGAACCACACAGTGGCCTATTTGGACAATAATGTTCTCACCTGCTCCATAGACATTTGACTCATCATGAAGTGTAGCAGTACACAGATCAGGAGACTCCTGGCTTGAGTCCCAAGTGATACTGACAGAGTGAAAACTGTTTTCAACCTCAGTTGAGGAGGTAGACCGGAAGAGCACCAATTTCTCCAAGGGAGGAAGGAATTGTTCAACAGTTTCATCCCACAGTTTCTTGTGGGTGGGGCTCACCATTAGTGGTCACAATCAGACAACTTCTTCCTTTTTCCATAAGCAGCATCAGAGCTGGTAGTCTGACCAACATTTTCCAGGCTCCAGATGTTGGAATCCAGGCACTGTAGGGAGGCGGGGTGGGGAATGGTGGAGAATATTTGGAGTAAATTCTGCAAAAGATCTCAGGGGCAAAATCCCTCTAAAAATAACAGAGGGTCAGCAACTTGGGCCATTATTAGTTGAATGCTAGGGGTTTTCTTGTTTAGACGCTATTTACCAAGGACTATATTTGGTCCCATCTATCGTTCTTCACTATGGTGGCCAGGTGCAAAAAAAAATAATTTCTCTAATAATTTCATTAGAATTCCATCCAGGGTCTGAAATTCCATCTTCTACACAACTATTGGAGGTGCAGGAGCACTTTGTGTTGTTCTTTGTTTGTTGCTGTCTTTGCAACTGGTAACTATATTCACAGTCCTGTCCTGATCTAAAATGAATTTTGACTTCTTTTCAGCTTTTGTTGTTGTTGTTGTTTAGTCGTTTAGTCGTGTTCGACTCTTCATGACCCCATGGACCAGAGCACACCAGGCACTTCTGTCTTCCACTGCCTCCCACAGTTTGGTCAAACTCATGCTGGTAGCTTCGAGAACACTGTCCAACCATCTCGTCCTCTGTCGTCCCCTTCTCCTTGTGCCCTCCATCTTTCCCAACATCAGGGTCTTTTCCAGGGAGTCTTCTTCTCATGAGGTGGCCAAAGTATTGGAGCCTCAGCTTCACGATCTGTCCTTCCAGTGAGCACTCAGGGCTGATTCCCTTAAGAATGGAGAGGTTTGATCTTCTTGCAGTCCATGGGACTCTCAAGAGTCTCTTCCAGCACCATAATTCAAAAGCATCAATTCTTTGGCGATTAGCCTTCTTTATGGTCCAGCTCTCACTTCCATACATCACTACTGGGAAAACCATTAGTGATGCATAAAATACATTTTCTCTTTAAATAAAAGAGACTTTGAAGTGGGGTGGGGAGGAAACATTGCATTTGCCTGTTATTCATTTTTGTGTTTGTTTATTTATTTATTTATTTATTTATTTTTTAATACCACCCTCCATTCATAGATCTCAGGGTGGTTTTTATGCTTGATTTCCCTGCTTCAAAATCTTGCAGAACTCAGTGCACTTCTAGCACCACTGGTCATCCTTAGTGTCTATCTCTATTATTTCCTTTCTTTCTTTCATGATGACTCACTAGAGCCTGAATCTGTCTCTAGCAGTCTTAGCTTTCATAGATCTCACCATGCATTTGGTACTGATAAATGCAGTTCCTTCTGTTTGGAGTTGTTCCCCTCCCCCCAACTTTGGCAGCACAATATATTCAATCTCTCTAATTGTTTGAATCTTTCTTCTTTCATTCTAACTCACCACCACCAATTACTGTACATCCTCCCAGCTGATCAATGTCAGGTCTTTCTTCTAATCATTTTAATTTGCTCTGCTTTATGCATTGATAATTCTTGAGTGCAGTCTTCCAGAAACAACCCTGGCAGCAAGGAGACAGTTGTCAAAAGAGCTTATACGTATAGTTTCCTCCATACTCAAAATCCCCCTGTTAACACAGTCAAACTGTGCAAGAACAGGGAGATATGAGCAATAGTGTATGGGAAATGTCAGAGACTATTATCGGGAAGGGGAAAAAATCTAGATAAATATTCCCATTATTGAAATTATGGTTCTTGGGAAATCATTCTGTGGAGTTGGGCAGTTTATAACTGATACACCTTAAGACTGCTTCACATATTTAGCTGGGCAGAAATTATTTTTGCAAGACTGGAGCAAGTGCCCCATGCTTATGTAAGATCATATTGTATGGCAGCTGATGAATGCATAGTCCATAGTGTGTAGGCTTGATTACTGTGATATTTTCCAAGTTGGAAAAAAGGTGTTTGTAGGTATTTACATATATGTGCTGCATGCATCCTGAATACACTGGTTTATAGCCACACCTGTCTATTAGATGAGTATCACAACTGACCATATGAACTACAACTACTACAACTTTGTTCACTTATTCTAGAAATCTGTGGCCTGGGCTCATGTTCAGCATTCTCCCCTATTTTCCCAATCAGGTGCTTTCAATAGTCAGCTCCTCTGCTTTGCTACTGCTCTAAGGTTAGTTCCATTGCTGACAGTCCCAAACACAAAATCACAAAAAATCCCACTTGAAAACCTTGAGGATTGCTATTTTATGTATTTCTCTAAATTCCAGCACCGATCTTTCAGATGGCATATTTCCTTGACATTCATCAAATTTGCAGCTGCACATATAATGAACAGGAAGCGGCATTTCAGAATGATGCTGTCTTAATTACATGTTTCAGCTTTCCAAATTTGAAAGTAATAACATTAAAAAATTAGCCTGAACTGTAAATAAAAAAATAAAAAAATGCCACAGTGTAAAAAGAGTTGAGAACAGATTATAACATTGGTGCAGATGATAGCAATGAAAGATATGGGGTTTTTTGGCAGACAGGAATAAATGTTAGAAGACCTTTTCATTTTTCAGAGGCCAATAGGTCACTGACCTGAATGAAACTGTTTCATAGAGCTGTAAATATGCAGATCTGCCAAATGTGCTGATTGGATTGAGTTCCTGCCTGGAAATGTGCCAAATCCCCTGGTAACATTGTGGATTCCATATGGGGTAGTCCAAGGGATGCCCGTCTCCTCTTGCTTTTCCCCCCCATTTTAAAATAATTGCAGCTGCCTACAACTGGCCAAGTAACTGAAGGGGCTCCTGCCACCATTATGATGAAAACAATGAAACTATGGCAACAGACTCCCTGGGAGTGATGCAACTTCATGACACATGATCACTCTTGGAGGAAATGGGGAGGTGGGTGCCTCTGTACAGCAAGAGAAGAAAAGGGGAAATGACCATTTTGTGTTGTCTTAACTATATATAAAAAGTTCTGTGTTGGTTACGGGAATGGTGCTGATTCCTCCTAAAACATCCACATGGAACCAGCATGGGCTGGGCCTTTCTCCAAGCTTGTGCAGAATCTGCAGCACTTAGAATTTGGTGTTGGGCCCACTCCTATTTCCTGCTCCCCTTCCCTCCACTGCCTGTTTATTCCACCTCCCTTAGAATAAGGATTTTACACCTTGGGAAATGGAGAAAATGACAGGGACAGAAGAATCAAGGAAGGAACTGTGCGGCATGGTTTGGGGGGCAGTTAAGGAGGGTGGTTGCAAGCTCACCTTTACACTTGTCACATGCGTTGCAGGCTTTGAAGCTGAAGTAACAGGAAAAAGGAGGCCTTTCCTCCATCAAAGGAACTAGGGGTGTTTGTTTTGTTGTGCTCTCTCCCTTGACATTACTTGAGTCTGGTCTGGCTTGAGCTTTTTGTGGCTTGAATGAGAGCCAGCTGGATAATCTCTTTTAGATGGTGACAGGGGAAGCCAGCCAACCACACCATCTGAATAAGAATAAAGAGAAGCACAGAGCACCATGTTGCTTTTGGACCACTTAAATCACATCTGATACCAGTTCAGTGTTTCTTGCAAGAAGGGCTCTGAAATAAATCCTGTGGTGTGTGGTTTTCAGAAAGAATCTTAATGCCAGAAGCTGATGAATTAATCAGTTAATGCCCATTTTAAATCATCTACTTGGGATTAGTGGCCTTTCTTACTTTTTGGTATTGTTCTGTGGGTTGGCCAGCAGGCTGCTCCTTCCTTCCTAATTTAGCATGGAGAGTTTCCAAAATTGATTCCACTACTGGTGCCTGTGCAGCTTTCCATGGCTTTCAATGCCTTCTGCCCATTGGCATGTCCTCTGCTTCTTTTGTCCTGATGGGCAGAAGCGATTGTGTGTATTGAGGCAAAAAGTGCTGGGTGCACCAAAGAATCTCGATGTCCTTGTGGAAACAGTTAACATCAAGGTTCGTTTTTGTGCTGCCGTTCATCATTGTGCACAAGCACTTGTGCCCTTCAGCAACCTGGAAAAGTAAAATAAAAAAGTCTAGCAATGAACAGACAGAAATCTACATGAGTTTTCCACACATGCAGTCATCAATGTAGACACTAGAAATCACAACCAAATTAGCAAGATGCTAATTCACCAGGGACACTCTGCAAAAAGAGCAGGTAATGTTAATTCTGAGCAGAATCAGCACAGACCATAGCTGTCAACTTTTCCCTTTTCTTGCGAGGAATCCTATTCGGAATAAGGGAATTTCTCTTAAAAAAAGGGATACGTTGACAGCTATGGCACAGACATGGCCTACTGCCCAAATCCTCTACTATGATTACCTCTGCCACTTAATATCCTGTCACCCTCTTCCACATTGGGGGGGGGGAGTCATATTGGGGAAGGGGTTCAGTGTAGCATCTCTCTGCATTACTGGCTAGCAGTATATGGCGCTACTGTTGTAATGACACTGGTTGCATCTTTTCCCACAAGGGAAATGTGGGTTGAACTGTGTGGTCTCAGGGGGCAGGTGTATCAGAGCCTTTGAACATGCTCCAGAGGCCCTGTTGACGGCTTTTTGCTGTGTGTGCTTTTAATTGATCATTATTCATGTTGTGCATTGTGGCATCATCCCACTTGGCACACCTGGTATGTTCAGCCCTCCTGATATGAACTATAACTCCATATGTATGGAAACATTTTTGCTTCATCTAAATTGCCCCTTTTGAATACTTTCAGGCCACTTTATTTCAAAAAATAAAAATAAAAATCTATAAGGCAGCACTTATTTATTTATTTATTTTTAAAAGAAAAATCCAGCTATCAAAACTGGTGAATAATGTCTGTACACTTACATAGGCATGCGTAGGCAGGCAGGCTACTATTTTCTTGTCTGGCAGAATTGTGAATTTATGGATGTCACTGCAAATGTAATTCATTCCTAAAATCAATTATGTATGTCAGATCTAATAAAATGATCAACCAGCAAATATCCTACGTCTGTTGCTTAGGAATTGTCTTCAAAGTTTCTGTTTGTCTATTGGATGCCACTCCCCCTCATCCTCCCATTATTTGCATGTTTAGTAGGACACACACACCCCTTATTTGAGCTCAGAGAGTACACCTGTTACCTCAATAATGGGAGGATAAAGAATATACCTTTCTTCACATCTAAAATTCATGTTTAAGAAGTAAGAATAAACATAGAAAAATGCAGAAAACCAAATTCATTTAAATTGAATAGATTATAGGGAAAATATAAAAATTACATGGAAGGTTTAATATTGACCTACTTTCAACTCCTATTTAATTCAGTAAGGAAAGAAAAAGGAATGAAAATTGAGTAAATAAACATTGATATAGATGCAGATACTGGTAACATTTCTTCACTTTTAGCGTTTCACTTGCAAGTTATGTCAAGTACATCTTTAAAGGGGGAAATTTTAATAGTTTTTTGTCAACTTGTTTGAAAATTGCAGTCTCATTTCTGCCGCCGCATGAGGGGGGAAAACTCTGTTTACTCTTCTTGACATAAGTTATGTCAGCAAACACCTATAATTTCTGGTAAGACAACCCTAATAATTACCTGATTTAGAGTTTTTAAACAGTATATTTATGTGGTACAAATTTGCAAGTGGGCTGGTGGGTGTGAACGCTCTTTCAGTAGAAGTGAGAAATTTCTCAGCCAAATCACTCAGAGGATACAGAGCTATCATCTTTGATGAGACCACCCACAGCCAGACATAATGTCATGTTCATATTCTGCGTGAGTCAAATCCCTTAAACATGGGGTTTTTTTGCTGTTTCGAATACTTACTTTCCCATATGCTTCAACGGGCCGCAGATAAAAATGGGAATGCTTTTGAAAATGTCACAGGCCCTGAACTGGCTATTTGAACCCAGGTATCGCATGCTTTGTGCCATAACAGTTACTTGCCAGAAGAAGGTTTTTCCTGGACCATGCTGTAGTTTTTTTGGAGCCAAATTGTGAGCACCCAGAGGGATGGGTTACAACTGCCAGCTCAGCAAGGAGCAGGTGACACACAAAAGCAAGAAGATTTTACTTGGTCCTACAAAGCTACAGACACTGGCCTTGCTCTGAGCAATTTGGCACTCTGGCATAGACTGAGCTCTCAGACTGAGCACCTGTTTTCCTGCTTCTTTTAAGCTTGTCTCCAGACAAGGAGCCCTGAAACGTATGTAGCAATGGCCAAGCGCATCTGTTCTGTTCTGAACTGGGTCACCAAACCAAGCAAACAACCAAAAAGCAGAGTTGATTCCAAGTCAATCCTGGCATTAGGAGATGATGGGTTCCTCCCTCCAGTTCCTCTGTGAGGCCTGAAACACCTTATTTATGGTGATTTGGGGGGGGGGGGATTTCCTTCCCCTCCCTCTCTGAAATTTGAAATGCTACCACAGCACTGCTGCAGGTAGCAGGGATACTAGGAAATGTAATTTCAAATGCTAGGGACCAAGAGTTATTTAACTACTTCCCTACCTGACTCTGTTGTCACCACAGCCAGATAAATAAATGGGGGAAACATCTTGCTCAGATTTCAGTCTCAGCTGCAGAACATGACAGGGTCAGGGTTGCCTGGTTCAGAATACTGGCATATTTTATGAGCATGCTGAATTCATTTCTCCCCCCAAATCTGTAGCCCCATGTCCATCTTCCATTACACATTGCTGAAAGTTCTTTTCTATCTTTTGTGTTTATGTGTTGGCTTCTTCAGCACAGACTATAGGAGTGTTTCTTTTCTTAGGGTCATATGAATCAAGAAAGGGGAGCTCTTATATTTTCGCACCTTGAAAACACCACTTGTGTGTTATGCTCAAGAGTATTGCAGTATGCAGTCCTGCAGTCCTGCCGTTCAAGCACAGACATTTATGTGACTGGGTTGAATCAGAATTGTATATCCTGACAAACTCAATTTTCATTGGCAGTATGCATGTGGGGCAAAGTTTTATTAGATCTCAAGACTGAGAGGGTGGGATTGAAGCGGATATCCAATAATTTGGTGAAATTCTAGAAGCCAGAACGTGGAGTGATTGTGCCTAAATTCCTGTGGACGAAGGTTACATAACCCTTTGCCCTTTCTCATAACTAGCAAACGCGGAAAAAAATATGAAAATCTCTCAATTTCCACTATTCATACATGTCACAGAATTTTGAATTCCTTGGTGCATAGTCTGTAAACAGTCTTGGTTTTATGCTTGTGTTCCAGCAATTAAGTTTAGAAGCACTACAAAAAAATGGAGTGAATATCAGCAGCCTGATAACTTTGTTAATACAAATTGTTGCAGATCATCACCAACAATAATTAGTGCAGAACTCTGAAACTTGTCTTCTAACAGGGACAACATAGGAAAGATATCTCTTCAATTACTGATTTTTTTCTTAGCGTAATTCAAGTTCTTGATGGTTATCTTTAAAACCCTAAATGGCTGTGTGTGACGGAAAAGTTGGTTAAAAGAAGGGCTAATGCATGGCAGCCTCTGATTGGCTGAGGTTCCAGGAGGGAAGATATAAAAGGAATGGATTCTGGAGACACAGTAGGTTGGTCGGGAAGGAGGGTTGGTTGTTGGTTGGATTTGGGAAGTTGGTTGGAGTGAGGAGCGAAAAGGAGTGAGGTTGGTTGGTTCGGAGGTGGGTTTTGGGAACTGAGTTAGTTAGGTAGGGAGATAGCTGGAGATTTTGGGACTGTCAGGAGAGAGAGTTGGTTCAAGATAAACATCCACTCTGAGTGTAATACGGAAGGTACCTTAGGAACAGGACTGTTTAACAGGGTGTGTGTCTGAAGTAAAGTACAACTGAAGTAAAGTACAACCCTGGAAAGGAGCCAAACTCTAAAGCAGTACCTAAGTTTTATCCCTCTACGTTGTCATGTTACCTTGGATTTTAAGTAAAGTGTTCTTGTTTATTTCAAGAGAAAACCCAACAGAAACTCCAATTCTTAGTTTTCCCCTCACGAAGGTCCCCCAACATTATACTCTGGGAACGTTTGTATGCCTGCGGGTTAATGGTTGTTCTGAGAGGTGGGGGCAACATAACCAAGTGAGAGTGGGTCCAACGGCGATAGGGAAGAAAATAAGTGCCGTTGCGCTCACGGGTGTCCTGTCCCACTGTGTCCATATATTCATCCCCATTTGCTGAAATCAGGTTCTGGTTCTGGTCTGTATTCCATAACTTTCCCAAATAAAGCCATCAAGCACTAGGAGCAGGGACTTCCATATGATGAAAATTCTGCTGTTCAAGGAAAGCATTATCCCTCCCCCAGGAATTAGATGGGTTAATTTCTGAATTATTTTCAAGAGACATACCTAGCAATGCTAGTAGTTTTGTATTCCATAGTTGTCAATTGCCGTCTGGACAGTCTAGATACTCAGAGACTGTTGGGGATGGCTAGGTAGTAGATACTTAAGCAATATAGGCGACCACTGTGTGTCTTAAGATTGTGTGGATGAGTCTTGATGCAGCCCCAAACATAACAGCTTCTTGTCATTCTCCCAGGCCCTTTCAGTCCTGACCCACAAAATTCTGTTCTGCCTCTCTCTTACTATTGACACAAGTGGGTGAGTTTATACAGAGATGTGAAATTCCATATCATTGTTCCGGTGACACCCAAATATCTCTCTTTTTCCTCCAGCCCAAGTTTTCTCTTACTAAGTGTCAAACTGTGTTTAGAAACTGTCTGTGGATAAGTCAATTGAAGCTAAATCCAGACAAGAATCGGGCAATAATGGCTAGAAATCCTTATGGCTGTCAGAGTAGGATTTCCCATATTGACTGGGTTTTACTTCCGAATATTTGTAGCCTCAGTATGCTTCTGCCTCCATGGGCAGAAACAGATTGAACAGATTGCTAGGGGGTCATTTCACCAGTGAAAGATCAGTCTTACTATGAAACATCAAAATAGTCAAAGTAAAAAAACTCAGAGAAATGAAGAAATCCAGGACTGCAGTGATCTTGGGGCTGGTTCATTCATGAATTGCACATCTCTTGTTTTCCCCATTACTGATAACTTGCATCATCAAGTACTTGGACCCCTGAGACCTGGGTTCAAACCCCTGCACATTTAAAAGAAAGGGTAATTTATGATTTGATGATAATTTTTTAAACAAAAAGGGTTTCATGGCAACTTATGAAATTCTTGTAATAGTACGCTTATTCTTTAAAAGAGCAAAACCAGTTTTTTTACCATTTTCTTGTTATGATATCAAGTAATGATCTTAGGGGGGGAGGGGACTCAGTTGGTGCCGTGGTCTAAACCACTGAGCCTCTTGGGCTTGCCAAACAGAAGGTCGGGAGTTCGAATCCCCATGATGGGGTGAGCTCCCATTGCTCAGTCCCAGCTCCTGCCAACCTAGCAGTTCGAAAGCATGTCAAAGTGCAAGCGGATAAATGGGTACTGCTCCAGCGGGAAGGTAAATGGCATTTCTGTGTGTTGCTCTGGTTTTGCCAGAAGCGGCTTAGTCATGCTGGCCACGTGACCCGGAAAAACTGTCTGTGGACAAACGCTTGCTCCCTCGGCCTATAGAGCAAGATGAGTGCCACAACCCCAGAGTCGTCCGCGACTGGACTTAACAGTCAGGGTTCCCTTTACCCCTTTACCTTTAATGGTCTTAGGGAACATATTTTAATATCCAGAAAGCTTAACCTTTCAGTGCCATAGAATAGTGGTGTTGATGCCATAACAAAGACCCAAGACGGAATCCTGCCACACTGAAGCAGCTTCTATGGCTGCTGGTCATATTTGTGAAGGAGATGTAGCCTTAGGTACCCTGTGGCTAGGCAGAGTGAGGTGGCCACTTCAAGCAGCTGATTTGAGTTGTCATGAAAGAGCAGAAAATTGTGAGTTAGTTAATTTAGATTCATTAGTACTTTATTTACAACTATTACTCTTTTTCCTGCCATGGATGGGGAAGGGTGCTTGTGGCATCTCTCTAAGTGGCAAAATAACATGACTGGCCTTGGGTACTATGGGTATTATATTATGCACCTTGGATATTATTATTTTTGGGAGGGAGGCACCATTTGCTGCTCTGCCCTAAGCAGCAAAATGTAGTAACCTTTCAGTTGAAGTGGGGCAAAGGTGAGGCCCCACATATTTGGCCAAGTGTGTGGACCAATTGTGCATCCTAGGCAGTGGTTCAGGATCCTTTGCAACATACCGGGTCCTGTGGCAGACATATAGGGTTCCTCAGCAGGGGAGGGGATGCTGAAACGTTTTCAGAATGTTTGGGAACCACTCGCACTGCTGCTCCAGGTGGTTGAAAACGTTTTAGCTCTGTCTTAGCTTTCTGAGCAATGTTTGCAGTTGACTGATGCCTTGCAATTAGCCTGTCACTACCGCATGCGTATGTTTGTCATTTTTCCCCTTTTTCCCAGGTGCAAAGAGGGCTACCAAGGAGTCCGCTGTGACCAATTTTTGCCGAAAACCGACTCAATCTTGTCAGATCCAAGTATGTCAAATGTTTCTTTTTTCTTCTTTCTTCTTCTGTCTTTATTACATGCCGGAGGTAACCTTTGCCATATGATGTGACCTTTTGTTCATTGTCAAAATTACATCAAAACCCATTTCAGGAGCTTGTAAAGTATTTTGTATAATGAAATAGTCTTGAGTCTTCCTCATCATGTTATATTTTCTGGGGAAAGCTATACAGAATAACATATTCCTTTAGCCACTGTCTCTCCAACAGGGCATGTGGTGCCCTCCAGATTTTGCTATACTACAGTTCCCATTAGCCCCAGCTAGAATTTCCTATGGTTGGGTTGATGTGAGTTGAAAATAAAACACCAGCTTTTAAAAATATATACAAGCAAAATGCTTGTCATTATAGCTGGTAGGACATGCTTGATGTGTTGGAAGAGGTCCTCACTTTACCCCACTAAAAACTGAGATAGCCACTGTCTGTCCTCAGTATAACCCTGTCTTGGTTTCAAATTCTTGGTCATGGGGGGGGGGTCCCCATGGTCGTGGGGATTTGTTTTTCTATACCTGTATACTATCTATATGTTAATGGTGTGTAGTTGGAAATATATCACTGTTTGGTTTTATTGTATGCATATTACGTTCAGACATTACAGTAAGTCATGAGTTATCATTATGGGAACAAGCCAAAATCAGGCTCACATATTCTTCCTCCTCCTCTTCTGATGTGGCTGGGAGGAGTTCAAAATTTTTCCTTTTGTCTTAGACTAACTGCAACCAAGTATTATGTCTGAACCTGGACAAACTGTAGTTAGTTCTCCTAACTATGGTTGGTTGAAACCAGCCCATTTTAAACCATTGTTTAGTATTGCATCTGAACTGGGCCTGTTTGTTCATTACTGAGTTTCTGCTGATGCTACATTTGTTGGAGGGGACATGAATAGTATTTTGTAGGGGATTTTTTTAAAAAATATATATATATTATGATTGTCAGCTGTCCTGAGAATGAGAAAACTGGGAAGAAACAACTAAATAAATTTTGAACACATGCATCTCACTGGGGTGGGGGTGGGGGGGTGAGAGAGATGCAACCTAGCATATTACACCAGAAGCTCAAAAAGAGGATGTACTCATCAAAGTCTTTCAGTTAGCAGTTTTACTCTTTCTTTTTTAAAATATAAAATGAAGTCCAATGTTGATTCTTCACTGTTTTTTGAGTCTACAAAACAGGAGGTTCGTGTTTGAAAGTTGGGGCTTCTTCCCTTATGAAGGCTGGGATTTGTTTCTTCCTCTTTGTGGGTCCCCCCCTCCTTCTTGCTGCTGCTCTTTGTCATTTTGCCAAAGTTTCTTGACTTGCTCTTCTGTATTGTATGTTCTGTGCCTTGCATGGGGGCCTTTTCTTTATTCCTTCGCCATTAACTCTTGTAGCAAGATGACCTGGGGCAAATCAGCCTGTGTTTCCCTCCATTTAAAAAACTTCATGCATCTATAAGATTGGAAGCTGTTAGGTAGGCTGGATTCACTGAATGTACCTCCCTATTGGTAAAATAGGAACTGTAAGCAACATTGACTGGAGTTCCACACATCATAGGAATCCAACTTAAAACCTGGACTTCTATTTTTGCTTGATCTTGACATAGTACAGCCTTGAAACTATTTATCAGAAGGGTAGACACTGATATTTTGGTTCAGTTGTGGAAATTAAGTCATGGAGTACTATAGGGGGAAATGTAAGGCTAATGTAGGTACAAAGAGACATGGATGTATGGAGTTCAACTATGAAACTTTGAACCTGATAGTTTTTGAAGGTATTTGCAATGCCATTCCTCTCCATTGTCAGTTTTGGTTGCCTGTCCAGTCTTTCCATTGCAGCCTTATTCAGAAAAACTCTCTGTGTATTCAGCAAATACAGAGAAGTGGAATTAGCGATGTGGTCATTGTCCCATGCCCAACGACAACTTGCCCACTGGCTTTGCTCTCCAGCCCCAGGTGTTCGGTGGAAGTTCTGAACAGGGAACCAGTGCATGTAGACTCCTTGCAATTACTAATCTTCTGCAATGGGGGAATCACCATCACTTGGAGAAGCTTCTGCACACACACACACCTGTACATGCATAGGCTCCCCATTCAGATCTTCTGCTGACCTCATGAGTGTTGGAAGCAGGGCAAAGTCATTGGGCACATGGATATTAGGAGCACACCCATTGAGTATGGCCCTCTGTTTGTTCTGAGAACACTGGAGTGCTCTTCTGAATGGGTATTTCTGTCTTTTTGTAACAGTAGCTGCTGTACGGAAGAGGAGCTAGCACAAAACCTATAGCGGTGTCCAAGAAAGCACAGGAGGTGAAGTAAAAATTGCTGGTGTCCCCATGCACACACAAAAACACATGCATAAAGCACTGTGGATCCTGACCCAAATGTTGATCTCAAATATCATGAGATATCACATACTAATATCAAAGTCCTGGAAATATAAACAGAATATTCATCTGCTTAGAGTTACATAGTGGATATTCATCACAAAACTCCACAGAGAATAACTGGGGGAAACAAATGTGTTTCGGTTATGGTTGCAAGAAGACTTTGACTCAAAATTTGACATAAGATTTTAGTGTGAACTAATCTTTTACAGGAAATCTTATTTAAGGGCAGTGGGGAGGAAACTGTTCTGCAACAATCACATTTTGAAGGGGAGGTGGTAGTCAGTGCAGAGTTTAATACTTCTCATGCACCATTGACTTCCACTCTTCACTTGTGTCTGACACTATGTCAGCAAAATGAGCTTCTTTCTTCCAGTGAGTACTCCAGTTGGCTCTGACCTTTCGGAGGGGTACTCCATTAACAGCCGTCATGCAGACAAAACTTGTATGTCTGCCAGTAAGGTTTGCAGGATAGACAGTAGACAATAGATATGTATCCCCACAAGCATTTCCCAATATATAGAAATACCTACTCTGCTTCAGACAAATTATCACAGGTAAAATTCAGAAGCCTGCAAGCTGAAGGGAGGGAACTAGGTCTAAAATGAAACCACCTAGTATAACTGCTCCCATTCACTAAAATTTGTGACATTGGCAAAAATAATAATTTCTTATTTGCTTTCTTTGCTGTTAGTGATGTCATTCTACAGGCAAGCCAGGTTAGCAACATAGTATTTTGACACAATCCCATTTACCATGTGACTCCTAATTAGGTGGGATCATATGTGTGTGTGTGTGTGTGTGTGTGTGTGTGTGTGTGTATATATAGTCATTCACACACACACACACACACACACACACACATACATATACTCACAGAATGATCACTCCAATCCTCAGTCCCTCATCACTGTCATGTATATATATGTACATCAGTGATGAGGGATTGAGGATTGGAGTGATCATTCTGTGATATTACGGCAGTGGACAAAGCTGTATGGTAACTTTTGAATAAATGTGTTTTAATTTAAATATATGTGTGTGTGACTAATCCAAAGAGGAGGGGGATTGGGAGGATGACCCCAAAGAAGCAAAAAAATCAAGGGGAACAATGTTGCTGAAGAGAATCATAAATATGGTGAATGCTCATATGCTCAAAGTATTTTTTGTGGGTGTGAAATTTCCACATGGAGTCAGGCATTTAGGCATGCAGATTCACCACTCTTCCATAAGTTATGTACACAATCAGCTGCGTGAAACAGGCTTCCAACAAATAGCCTCTTTGGACTTCTGTCAACATTGGCATATAATCTTCATGAATCAAGGGGAAGTGCAGTGTAGCATATGCATCCTGCTGCAGAACCCTTGTGGTTCTGGGTTCACATTTTGCCCAACTAGTCCTACTGGTTTCATTAAGAACACATGCCGCAGCACTTGCCAAGATAACGAAGGCACCATCTGCATTGGCAACCTGTGTTCCTCAAAGGAATTGGGTTTGCCGTGTAAATGTAAAGCCTTTTTCCAATGTATTAGCAGTTTCTGGGCTGTTTCCCCACCATCAACGCCACCTAGCAATTAGATTAAAACAAAACAAGAGAGCACTATCAACCTCTGGTGTATCTAGCATGGTTTTTGTCCAGGTTTTGCCTCATTTAGAAGTGTCTTGAATCCACAGCTCAGCAATGAACTTCAACTTTGGAAGGTTTTTAAAAAAATAATAATTATTCAGCTTTTTAAACTGGCCTGTTTTCCATTCATAGCCAGACTGTTTCTGAGCATACACGCATCTTTACCATGGTGCCTTACTGTTGACCCTGCTGTTCTTAATACGCTTTTCTCCACTTCTGCATTGATAGGAAGGTGAAATTGTTCCAGTAACTTGTCAGATCACATTTACTGGCCTCAAAGCAGGGAAGTTCAGCATTTCAGCAGTCATAATTCTTGATGCCCAAGGAAATGAATATAAGCAGGAGAGGTCACCTGGAGATGGCATTTGGGGATAACCATGAAAGCACTCTATATATAGGCAATTAAGTTGAAGAGAGTTTTCAAAAGATATGCCACATCTATCTTAACTGCTATGATCATGGTGTCCCCCTCCCTGCCCCCAGTATTCAAGTTCCAAGTTTAAAAAATTGAAGGAGCTGGTTCTTCATGGGTGCTTTAATGTCGTCTCTCTCCCATCAAACACACACTTAAAAATGGATGTTTGACACACATGCATTATATTGGCAACTAAGAAACATCATGCAATGAACCTATGAACATCATTTCTATGCAGCGTCACTGAGACCATGGGCAGTTTTCAAAGGCTTCCACACTCTTGTGCTCTCCTCCTCCACTCCCACCCTCTTTGGTCATTCACACTTTTTTTTTTTTTAACAAGAACACACAGGATTACATGGTTCAGCAAAGTCAACTTGATAGCAGGTAAAAAAGTCAAATGAGCTTGAGTACTGATGCTTGAGGTACTTACGTCATATGTAAAATTTTGGTGGGTACATAATATCTACATAGAGTATATCTATGTAGTTGTGGTTCGAGGACCTGATCCCCCCAAAGAGGAATGAATACACAAGGACACGTGATATAAGGTTAATGGGCAAGAAAAGGCCACAACTTTATTGATTACAGCAAGTGAAAAGGTATTGGCTTAGGCATTGGATTACGTCAGCTGACTCCACCCCCTCAGAGAGGGGTGAGTCTGAAACGAAGGGGGTTTATTCACCAGTAGGTGGAGCCTGTTGATGCTAATCCAACTATAGGCTCTCCCCTGATGTCACCGAGGGTCGTGCCATGGCCTCCCGCCAAGCAGGCATCGGACAGAACGACCGCCAGATTCCTTTAACGGAATACCCAAAAATTAAAGGCATAGGCGATGGCCACACCTAGCCCTTCAACACCACAACACATTATTCCAATGCCTAACCTACCCACCAATACCACGAAAGTTGTGATGATTGCTACGAGGTAGGCGAAAAAACCAAAAAGCCTAATGCCAAATGGAAAAATTCCTACCAGGCCCCCCGGACAACCAGGGCGACCAACCAAAGGTCCATAGCAAGGCCAAGGAAAACTAAGACCCTGAGCTCAAAGGGAGTGGAGGGTGGGTGAATCGCGATGGGACGATGAAGAGTGAGGCAGAGGAGGGGCTGGCGCCGCAGCATTTAGGCTGCTGAACACGCTCCCTCGGAGGCACCTGGTTGGGTGCCTGCCGATGGGCGTGGGCACCAGCCAGGTGAGTGGGAGGCAGGGGGGCTGGCGCCGCAGCATTTAGGCTGCTGAACACGCTCCCTCGGAGGCACCTGGTTGGGTGCCTGCCGATGGGCGTGGGCGCCAGCCAGGTGAGTGGGAGGCAGGGGGCTAACGCCCCCTGCTAGAGGTGGGGCTTGGGTTCCCGCCCACAACCACTCCCCTCTCTTCCAGGAGGAGAGTCTCTATCTCTAGATGCTCTAGTTATCTCCCGCTTGGACTACTGCAATGCGATCTATGTGGGGCTACCTTTGAAGTTGACCTGGAAACTGCAATTAATCCAGAATGCAGCAGCTAGACTGGTGACTGGGAGTGGCCGCCGGGACCACATAACACCGGTCCTGAGAGATCTGCATTGGCTCCCAGTACGTTTCCAAGCACAATTCAAAGTGTTGGTGGTGACCTTTAAAGCCCTAAACGACCTCAGTCATGTATACCTGAAGGAGCATCTCCACCCCCATCGTTCAGCCAGAGATCCAGTGCCGAGGGCCTTCTGGCGGTTCCCTCATTGCGAGAAGTGAGGTTACAGGGAACCAGGCAGAGGGCCTTCTCTGTAGTGGCGCCCGCCCTGCGGAACACCCTCCCATCAGATGTGAAGGAAATAAGCAGCTATATTATCTTTAAAAGACATCTGAAGGCAGCCCTGTTGAGGGAGGTTTTTAATATTTAATGCTGTATTGTTTTTAACACTCGATTGGGAGCCGCCCAGAATGGCTGGGGAAACTCAGCCATATGGGCGGGGTATGAATGATAAAATTATTATTATTATTATTATTATTATTATTATTATTATTATTATTATCATCATCTACATAGAATAATAGAGTCCAACCCCTTGCAATGCAGGAATATGCAGCTGTCCCATATGGGGGATTGAACCTGCAACATTGGCATTATCAACACCATGCTCTCACCAACGGAGCTATCCAAGCTCACAAGTCATTTAATGTGGACACTGGTGTGCTGTTTCATCACCTCATGAGAATTTTACTAGACTGTCAGAATCAATTCAATATTAACATAGAGAGATGAGCTGAAATAAAAAGAACAGGAAAGACACTAAAGAACAGAAAAGACACAAGCTGAACTCTCATAATGAGCTCAAAACAGTGAATGTTGTGTCTTGTGTTTTTATATGTAGTTTGTACTTGTGGAGGCTTATGAGCTTTCTTTCTGGCTCTGAACTCAGTCTGGGAGCAGAGATTAGGCCCTTCCTCCTTGGTGGCATTCTTCCTAAAGGACCTTACCTGTTAACCAAGAGGAGGCTCTTCCTTTTTAAATAATAATAATAATAAATTAATTGCAAATTTTATTAGTATTTTCCACACAACAGCAACAACAACAACACGAAAAATATTGAAAAATAACAATACACAAAACACAAAAACCGACATTCAAAAAAAAACACAAGTTAATAATCTAAACATTAAAAAGAAAACAAACATTGACTTCCACCAATCCCACAGCACCTCCTTTACCTCTCATTGTGTCTTCCTGCTTTCCTGTTTTCCTTATCATCTCTATCCTAGCATCCAGATATAAATCCCTCTTTCTTATCCTTTCACTTCACAAGGTTATTCCAGACTCAGGCAGATTTCTGTCCTCGAACCTAGGCTTTTAAGGTATTCATTTAGACACTCCCATTCCTTTTTCACTTCACTTTTTGGTTTTTGTCTTATTATATCTGCCAATTTGGCTAATTCTAAATATTCTGAAAGCTTACATAACCACTCTCCCCTAGTGGGTAGGCTAAACTAAACTTTGCTCTACCAGGTACATATGCTATAGTGGGTTCAAATTTCATTCCTCAGCACCATGGACCACATTGATTCTGTTCTCCAGAGAAATTGGTGCTTATTCACAGGCCTGGTTGCTGTTAGCAGGCAAAACCCATCCAATTTGCCTTAACCTTGGTAAAGTTCAGAGGACCAGAGTAAAGAAAATCTAAAGTTTCAGCATGCAATGTTGCAGCTGGGGCCTGCGAACAATGGTTCTGGCAAGGCCTGCCCTGGGATACTTTCCAGATTTGTTTTATTTAGTGTCTAGATTGAGCATGATTGGTGCTGGAAAGTTTGAAGTGTTAGCATTTCTCAATTGAAATAGTAATGAGTTGACTATTTATAAAATAATGCACCAGTATTACTACGATAGCATTCCCAGTCTCAAAGTACAGAAAACTGACCTTTCATTACAGAAAGGGTTGAAATTACCTGTGGTGATCAATATGGGGTATTATTGGAAGTTGGAAAGATACCTTGTAAATGAAGCATGTCTCCCCCACCTTTAGCAATTGCTTTAAAAGTCAAAGTCATTCAGTGGACAGATAATTGGACTTCTACAAAGGAGACCTGGGTTCAAAATACAACCAGTTTATAGATTCCCTGGGTAGTCTTGGGCAGATGATTCAGAATGGGAGCAATTATCTTTTGTTTGTAAGGACAAACCCTGTAAAATGTTCAGTTAAATCAGGGACATGAAATTGGTGGTCCTGTCTGTTGGTTGCATTGTATAGCCTTTAGGCTTGAGCACACGCAATTCATGGCAACTCATTTGGCATTGTGACATAGACCATAAGGAACTCGGTTCATGTCTCAGAGTTCTAACACCTGGGAAGCAACATGGAATGTTCCGTTGTTATCATGGAACTAGATGATAATAGAGAATAGAGAGCTTGGCTGTCCTCTCTCTCTCTCTCTCCCCCCCCCCAACTTCCCCCTGCATTTTACCAACTTGCACACTGAATCCTACAACTTGCCATTCTGGGCCTGATCCTAGCAGCCTGCCTAGTTATCCCGATGAGGACTCAGGTTGAGTCACAGTTTATACTCTGGTGGGCCTCAGCACTCCTCCTACATCATCCAAGCCAGAAAAACATGGTTCTTCCTCATACTCTGGGGGTGACTCCCCTGTAGCATCTCCTGATCCACAGCCATGCTGGAGTCAGCTGCAGGCCCTTTAGGGATTGCATACAGCTCAACTACTGGAAGAGGGGTCCTGCTAGCCTTCTTAATTCTTCAGATGACTCTGGTCCTTTGCTGAGACAACATCTCCTGCAGCTCAGCCAGTAAAGCTCACTCAGAGCTGTCCAGGTCCTGATGTGCTTTGCTTTGTTGGATCTGATTTGATTCTGAGCCAACTTGATGGACCTGCCTTAAAGAGGCTCTCCTTCAAGCTCCAGCTGAACAAAATAGCACATGCTGTTTTGTGAATATAGTGAGGTTGTGAGGAGTCATGCCCCAGAAAATTACTAGTTTTGCCAACATATGAACCACCCCAGTTAAACAGTGTGATGAACTTCTAACCGTTTCTGCTGTAAAGAACTATTATATGAGTGGCTCTGAACAAATAAGGACAATGGGAAAAGCACATTCTCCATTTCATTGCTTTCAGACCATTTCCCCTCACAACAGTGAAGTAAGTTAGGGTGACACAGAGTCACTTGAGCATTGAAGGTATGAAAATATGACCCACTATTCAGTCTAGTTTAACTTAAAGTGAAAGAGGTGGATTTGCAGGCTCCTGCATAGTCAAGGAATCTGAAGAATTTTGAAGGAAGCACAAAAATGCCCCATCCCTTAACTGGGACCCTCAAATTAATAATAATAAAAAATTGAAAATGGCAGGGTTTTAGTCAAATTGTGTGTGCCCTTGGTGTCTTCTCTTCCCCTGCCTCTCCCATACATTTTTTATTTTGAAATATAATTCAAAATATAAGCAAGGGAAACACATATATATCACACACCAGTACGAAAAGCTCACCTAAGGAATAAAGAAAGCCGCCTATTGCAGTCTTTAATATATTATGCTTCTGGGACAACTAGCTCCCCAACTGTAGTATATATAAGTTATATATCATATATACATCCTAGTCAGAAAAAAATACAGGCATCTGTATGTGGAATTTGATCAGCATCTTAAAGGCAGGAAAACAAACAGAGAATCTTGGTGCCATATTTATTTTGTAAAACAATTTGATTTCATTGTTTGCTTAAGTTTGCACATAAAGCAGAGTGTCCCAAACTTTATTAACCCCTGCTATCTGTATGGTTGCTTTGGAGACTTCCAATTACATGCTGTATGCATCACCACCACTTTATACCATTTCTTACAAGTGCCTTTTTGCAGGAATCCAAGGTCATTAGGCTCAAAGTATAACTTTGGGAGTTATCTGTGTCTAGCATACAGAATATCCTGGTGGTAATTGGCAATGATGTTTCACCACCACCCACATTGTTACACATTCCTATGAAATAGGAAGTTCAACCCAGACCTTCCAGCAGTATTGATGATAGTTTGGACATAGTAGATGAAACTTTGATCAGCAGTGGATGTGCTGTTGTCACTCGGGGACTGGGGGGGGGGGCTTTCTACGTAGAAAGCAAGTTCAATGTAAATTTGGCTTTCCTCTTCGGAATGAAGCATCCAGATTATTCTGAGAAAAGCAAAAAAGAGATAACAATGAGATTTCACGAAGGCATTCTGGATATCTCTCACACCAAGCTAGCAAAGAGAAAGTTCAACACTGGTCCTTGGAAGCATTGATCCAGCCACCATTAATGTGCAATCTGAAGCAATCACCACTACTAAATCACTGTGTGATTAGACTTTACGAATGAGTATCATCCAACTTTTATTTTTATTTTTTTGCTTGTGTAGTCAGGGCCTACTTGGAGTGCACATGCTTTGGGTCACATTAAAAGTTTAGCACATAGCAGGAGACACAGAAACCTGCACCTCACCACTTGGGATGGGGGAAAAATTAGATATTGTTCACATTTAAAGGTGAATCTAATTAACTTGCACTTTTTGAAACACAGCCATCCTTCAGATTTGCTCTTCTTTGAATTTTGCAGTGCAGTTCTCCAGTCAAATAATGTGTGTCTGTTTCCAAGCACCACAATCGTCTAACGGGATTCCCAAATGGCAGGTTAATGCTGCCAGCCTTCATGTCATGTTTGCAGGCACATTTGTAATGCAGATTTAGTCTGACAATAGGCTTAGTGCCTGAAACCAGCTCCCCATAAAGCAGGCATAGGCAAACTCGGCCCTCCAGATGTTTTTGGACTACAACTCCCATCATCCCTAGCTAATAGGACCAGTGGTCAGGGATGATGGGCGCTATAGTCCCAAAACATCTGGAGGGCCGAGTTTGCCTATGCCTGCCATAGAGCATGTCCTTGGGGACCCTGCCACCTTCCATTCTGTGTATATGTCCAAGCCAGGGTAGATGTCGCTGAGACAGAAGTGAAAGCATGTTGGGAATGTGAGCTTGGGAGAGCACATCTTTGTTTGAGACTCTGTCCTGTTATGTGACGCCCAAAATCTTCCACACACAGCACATACGTAAGGCATTGAGATGTCACTCCTGGAGGGTGCAAGTTGCCCACGACTCCCTTCCACAAAGCAGCGTGCTCAACACACAAGCCTGGTAGATCTTCATCTTGGTATTGAACATTAAGGTAAAGGGACCCCTGACCATTAGGTCCAGTCGTGGCCGAAGCTGGGGTTGCGGCGCTCATCTCGCTTTATTGGCCGAGGGAGCCGGCGTACAGCTTCCGGGTCATGTGGCCAGCATGACTAAGCTGCTTCTGGCGAACCAGAGCAGCGCACGGAAATGCCGTTTACCTTCCCGCCAGAGCGGTACCTATTTATCAACTTGCACTTTGACGTGCTTTTGAACTGGTAGGTTGGCAGGAGCAGGGACCGAGCAACGGGAGCTCACCCCGTCACGGGGATTCGAACCGCTGACCTTCTGATCGGCAAGTCCTAGGCTCTGTGGTTTAACCCACAGCTCCACCCGTGTCCCATATTGAACATTAGTATCACATTATTCCATACCCTTTTGGAGAGGCAAGCCATTGCTGTAGTTGCCTTGCCAAGAAGCTAATCCAGCTCAGCATTGATGGAGAGGAAGACAAAGTTGTCTATTACTTCAAACATGTGGTCACCAGTGCTGACGCATGGAGTGCCGATGACATCTAGACCCAGGATGCTGGTCTTTGTGAGACTGGTGGTGAGGCCAAACTCCATTCAAGCTTGGGCAAAGATTGATGTGTCTCTGTAGAGATTCCTCGGAGTATGCTATTGGCAATGCTTCATCTGCAAACAGCATCTCTTGGATAAGAATCCCACACACTTCTGTCTTGGTGTAGAAACATGTCCCAACAGACCCCATCACTCCTTGAATGGAAGTACATACCAAAATAAATTTACCCCCAAAACCAAACTCTACATTCAAAATACTCAAATATAAAAACAGTAATAAACTAACCTAAAGTGCTCATTCAAGTATATACATATGTAAAAGGCACAAGTCCTACCCACTTTACTTAAAAGTATGATCCGCTGGATTTCCTCTTTTCTTTAAAACTTAAAGTTGGTTGTAATAGTCACCCATCTTTTTTGTTGGCTACTGAAACACCAAAATATTGAACAAAACAGTTACTGGATTGAAGTGTCTAGAGAGAAGGCTATCATATTAAAATAAAATTTTCTGACTACTTCTGAACTGCTGCATAAATATATGCAATGTTCTGTTTTGCAAAAATGTATGACCTGGTTTGCACATTCTATATTTAAAGCTGACATAGGATTCCATGAAGCCAACACAATGTGTGTTTCTTTATGTAAAAGGGCTTCGTTTATCGGCAGCTGTTATTGTGGATTGCCCTTCAAATAAGTTCATTATTGTAATGGTCTTACTCACATTGAGGATGCTGCACTTGAATTTTCTTTGATATCTTGAAAAACACTTTGCAGATTTCAATAACACTTGAATCCCTCCAGGTTCTGTGAGGATTAATTGGCTAATCACCAATTTAAAGCTGTAATTGAATGAAACAGTGAGCACTTACAGTCAACTCTCAGCAAAGTGGCCACAGAAACAGGAGTCAAGGTCAATGAAAAAAATCATTGGTATGTTGAGCAGAATACCAGCTACTAGGGGGTACTAGTTGTATTCTGTACCAGATATTCAGCGTAGCCACTTGAAAGGTTGTAAGGAATTGCTTTGTCCCATAATTCTTTCCCGAGATGCCTGTAAAGATTTTTATAGTTTTTTATAATAATAATAATAATAATAATAATAATAATAATAATAATAATAATAAAAATCAGACTTCTTTTCCATTGATTAATTTATTGTGCCATCATTCGGCATTAAGAACAGAATTTCCCCCTTGTCTCCTCTCTCCAGACTCAAAATCTGCTCTAGAGAAGGACACTTCAGAGCAGATCTGGCAGGGGGGTGGATCCATCAAACTCCACACATCCAGCATTGGATAAAATATTTTACTTTTCAATGCTTTTTAATAAAAGGTCCAAAACTGGCTTCCAGTCATAATAAAACAATACATATGAAGGAATGGGTTTGGGTAACCCCAATGCTATTAAGATTATTGGTGTACTTTACTATAATCTAATGAATGCAATAAAATAGGGAAATCTAAAGGCCACAGTAGACTAATCAGCTCCCCCCCCCAAAAAAAATAAATAAATTGGGGGGAAGTCTTCACTATCTGGCAGAAAGTCAACATCATTGTGGCTGGACATGCCTCTAAGAGGAGATCCAGAGTATCCTAACATGGCGAGCAACCATGTTACCATGGTTTTCACCAGCAGGCCTGCATATGAAGCCCCCTCACCTGAGCTCAGGGTCGAACTTTACCATAAAATACCCAAATCCTAAGTTATTTAGGGCTTTACACACTAACAGTAGCACCTTAAATTGGGCCCAATGCAACCAGTGCAGACAGAATTAGGGCAATATGGAAAAAGTCTGCATTCAAATCAATAGGACAATCACTTTGGGTAAGTTCATGCTTTATATTTCATTTAGAATGCCCATACTTTCTCAACTGACTGCACTTCTACTTAGATCAGTGGTTCTCAACCTGTGGGTCCCCAGATGTTGTTGGACTACAAATCCCATCATCTCTGAGCTCTGGCCTTGCTAGCTACGGGTGATGGGAGTTGTAGTTCAACAAAATCTGGGGACCCACAGGTTGAGAAAGGCTGACTTAGATCATCAGAATGTGATTGGCTGCATACTGTAATAACACCTTCCTGAATGTTTATTTCCCAGGATATATTTTTTTTAAAAAAATTACAATATGGAGTTCAGTTTGCAGAGCATAAAGTTTTCCCACACAATCCATTCTGAATTTGTGTTTTCAGTTTTGAATGTTCCCCATTCATTTCAGGCAGTAGTGTCCAAACTGTTTTCAAAGAGGGCCAGATTTGATGAAGTGAAGGGCTGTGAGAGGCGACCAAAGTTGTTGATCTTTTTTTAGGATTGAAATTGTTGAGGGGTTTTTTTTATGATTTTACTGCAGGAAACCATCTGCCACAGGGACTGGATGAAACCAACCGGCGGGCCAGATTAGCCCCCCGAAAGGGACTTTGGACATCCCTGAGAAATTTTCAGGTGTCTCACATAAATGGCAACATGGTCCATACAACAGAGAGTAGTGTCTCCCCAAATGACTAATATTCCATTATCAAACTTGCATTCATCTGCATGAAAGGAACTCTGAGGCTCACTGACTCAGAGCCCAGCTCTCATTTAAATCTGAGTGAACATCTCTTATCTTCATCCTTCACATTGAACCTTTTTGCTGCTTTGACAATGCTTATTAAGGCAATTTGTATGGTTATGCCAGTTCTTTCACATGGGGACTCTGGTCAGGCATAGATTCAAGTTCACTGAAATAAACTTGGGGTTCATTAGAGAAATTGTGGACTCGGTACATCATGGGATTCTGGTATGTATTTTTCCTTGAATTTACATGATCCTTCTATATTTGCACTGCCTTGGCTTTTGAGGATTATCTGAATCTTGCAGAAAACAGCATTATAATGAATTGTGATTCTTTATTGAAATAATTAGCTGTTATCCTGCAGGGATTGGGGAATACCTTTAAAGTTCTAAGATAAAAATGAAGGGAGGATATAGAAACTCTGCTGAATGGAAAGTCAGCCAAACCTACAACATTTCACAATTCGAGGTTCTGCCTCGGTCTTTGATACTAGGGCTAAACTGAAATTTTGAGCAGTAAAATGTTGAGCCTAAATAAGGTTAAGTGGGCAGCTGTTCTAACCTGGCTGATGGGCTCAGTTGATACTGAGTGAGCACTTGTCTGACACTGTCCCTCCACTGTAACACCATTGCAAGGTGTTCTTATAAAACCACCAAAATCAAGAGCAAGAAGCCAAGGCTTCTGCTGCCTTTCCTCCATTGTCTGTTGTGTACATTAGCAGCTGCCACTTTTCCTGGTGCCTGAAATACAGAAGTGCACTTAAAGCAAAGCACCATTTACTGCTTGTGCAGTAAATCCCAACTAAGGGGAAGGCACGCTTGGCAAATCCACACTGCGATCAACTCCCACCCAGAAACCAATGTCCCCACTGTGGAAGGACGTGTGGCTCCAGAATTGGCCTCCACAGTCGCTTACAGACACATTGTTAAAACCGTGTTTATGGAAGATGATCTTGCTCAGCTACGAGTGATCGCCAAGGAAGAAGAAGAAAAAATCCCAGCCAGTAGGACAGTGGTTCTCAAAGGATGTGGTGTGCCTCGCTGGTGTGGCAGGAGAGGATGGCAAGAGAGGCAGGAAGATTTGAGGACAATCAAAGAAACATTTAAACATTTCCATGTCTGTCTGTCTGTCTATCTATCTATCTATCTATATATCTATCTATCTATCTAATCTCTATCTCTGTCTTTAAAGAATATGGATAGATATATTTTCAAAATGAGAGCAATAACATCATATGATACTAAGGACAATCCTAGCTGAGATATTTTTGTTTCCGATGTATTTCTAATTAACAAACATTCAGCACACCACAAGCAATTTTTTATTCTGAAAGTGTGGCCCAGAGTAAAAGTTTGAGACCACTGCGGGAGAAGACAGTGTCACCAGACCATGAGCTGTCATGGCACAAACCACCATAATAATAAGGATTGGATGTTGGGGCAGTGATTTACCAAGGACATATATCAGAAAATGAGACTGTTGCAAGGATGATTATTTCGCTATTGCCCCCCCCCCCCAAGAGTAAAGCCAGGCGGTGATTGCTAGCCAGACCCTCCCTTAGGCATTCTGGGTGATGTGGTTGCGGAGAGTCCCTCCACTACTGCCGTTGCGCTGAGGCAAGAACAGCAGTGGCATCATCACTCTCCTGGGTCAACTCACCCAGAATTCCCTGTTCTACAATGGGGACTCCTCCATTCCTCAGACTGCAGGGGAGAGTGCCCATGCTAATGTCATATCAACAGCTACAGCAGCAACAAAATTTCAAATTTAGCAAGGGAATGAGGAAGGAGGAGTGGTGGGGGATGACAGTGAAGCAGCCCTCAACCACCTCATATTTAAGGCACCTGCCCCGTGGCCTCCAATCTGGCAGTGATTCCAACTCAATTAAACACAAACACTGGTGTTAGGAGATGGGATCCACTGCAACGTTTTGTTGCTGGCCTCATGTGTCACGGCTAATGGTTTATTAATAGACCTATGTTCTCCAGAGATTTATCTAATCCTTTTTAAAAAGCAGGCTTAACTAGTGACCACCACTAGCCTGTAGAAATTAATTCAATAAGACAGCGATGCTTTGTTTGAGCAACTTTTGGTCCAGCTTGAATCTACTGCTATTCAGTGACTCAGTTTCTAGTGCCTTTTGATACCAAGCCTTTGATTATGTAGCCTTGAAAACCTTGATTACTCTTAAGCTTTAAATCAGCCAGGAGGTAATCAAACTGTGTTTTCTGAAGGCCATAGACCAATTAAGAAAAAAAACACTTTATTATCTAAATAGCTACTCAACCAAATCTAAGAGTTTACAGGGTCGGGCTTATTCTCAGCTGGGTCTGATGCTAGCCTACTTTCTCTTCTACTGCTATTGCAATGGATTATATTATTCTTATTTTGAGTAATATCACGATTTCCATTGTACCGCTGTAGGACTGAGGATGGTTTTTTGCTAAGCAATAAAGCAATTTGGATTTGGCCTTTTCACTGTGTCTGTCCAGAACAGGCTCCAATCAGGCCCATAGGAAATAAGTCACTACGGAACTCTGTGGTGCAAAATTCACTGTGAATCAGGATAATTTTCAACAGCCGAATCAAATAGCATAGAGAGGGGAGCTCATGTATAAAAAGATGAATATCTTTAAAGATGGAAGGGAGTAAATAAACTATGCTTGCTGCTAAAATGCTGTATCTTGCATTTGCAGAACAGATGGATATTTCAAATAGGAAAATATGAATCCTTTCACTAAAATAGCTATTTCTCCTCTCAAAGATATCAATCTTAATGCTGGTGGTTCAATGTACACTTCAAAAAAAGCACCCCACCTTCTTGAAGAGATCTTTTGGCTATTGGGATTGACATTTCTATTAAGGAAACAATCTGAATTTATTTTACAGACATATTAAAAATTAAGGATCTCCTCCCCATTGCACAGGGTAATAGAAATTCCCACTTGAGTAAGCAACATGGTAGAAAGCAATTTTTCTCTGAATGAGTATACCCCGTTCTTCCTCCACACAGAATCAAAAGTGTCATGGTAATTGGGGGAAATGAAATCACCTTGAGCAAAACATGCTTTGAGTATGCTCTCAATGATGGAGCTGTAAGTTGTTTTAAGGCGAGAATATATTCCAACAGGTTTTGAAATCTTGTTTGTAGGAATTAACTCTAAATAAGGTGCACCAAGTCAGGAGAAGGAAGAACACCCCTCCCCAAAATAACTGAAGGTTGTATTGAGACATAAATCATTGCCTCTTGTACACAACTTTATCCCACTATCACCAGTGGTAACAAAGGTTTGCCAGTTTCAAAATTTATTTGATGAGAGACAAGAGTGAGCTAAGAAAAAGCCTGTATGTCCTAAGGGTAACAGAGCATCTGTCATATTGCCTTCAACTCTCTCAAAATCTTTTGTCTGTTTCCAGCCATCTTTCCCATTCTTTAAAGTCTGATTCACATGACAGTTTTCTCTTCATGAAATGACAGCCGACAGTCACCTCTTATTAAATAAAGATCTTTCTGGACTCATGAACAAGGATTCACTGCAGGTCTGTCTGTTGAGCCACTGTGTTCTCTATTTGGTATGATAGCTGATTCTCTTCCTCCTCACCCATAACTATAACTTGGGATCAGTCAGTAGAGCTAAGCAGCGGGCAGTAGGTTCAAGACTGATAAAAGAAAATCCTGCTTTCTATTTTCTTACTTATTTAACATTATTTATATTTTATCCTGAAGCTTTATGGAAGAGCAATATGTAAAAATTTCAATAATAAATGAGTCTGAGAGACTAAATACCCCTTTGCCTGATGCCAAAAAACACACAATAATGTTGGCACCAGGAGAGAATTCCACAGGCAAGGAACACCACTGAGATGGCTCTTTCTGGTCACCAACTCCAAATATGACTTCAGTAAGTGGAACTGAGAATGTATAACTTCATTTTCCTGGGCGCTAAGCCATATTGAGCTTTAAATGTGAGCATAAGCACCTTGAATTGTTCTCAAAAAACATACCAGAAGCCGTTGGAGGTTTCTCCCCCTTGCCCCAATACTTCTTCTTTTCATCATTGGGCATTCTGAGCTTGTGAGTTTCATCTTCGCTCCATTTTCCTACTGTCTCACTGTATTTGCCATTGGGAGTCACAAGACCATGAGCCCTACACAAAGATAAGGCAGAGCTACAGAGGTAGATAATGCTTTAGCTTCAGCATGGCTGTGACTTCATTCACACATGACTTCACAATGGACTTGTGACAGAAGAGCTGGCATAGCTCTTGTTCTCACTGGGGCTGCTGACAGTGTCCAGGAGGATCACCTCTGCTGTGGGTAGAGGTTTCATTTGTTTAACTGGTATAGATGGCTAGGAATTAGACAGATTAATGATGGGTTGCTGTGGCAAGTAGCTGTCCAGTGTTGGTGTTCAAACATTGGAGTGGTATTTGAAAACACTGATATCTAGGCTCATTGTGCTGGCCAAAATCCACTGAGCCCATAGCACAGAATGATGTACCGTATTTTTCGCTCTATAACACGCACCTAACCATAACACGCACGTAGTTTTTAGAGGAGGAAAATCCGTAGGCATGCCACCCATAGGCATTCCCTCCATAACACGCACAGACATTTCCCCTTACTTTTTAGGAGGAAAAAAGTGAGTGTTATGGTGCAAAAAATACGGTAATTCCTTTCTTGTGGCCTTTAAAACCAGTGATATTGATCTGTTCCACAACTTGCCTAATATTTAATTTCAGATAATAGGCTGCAATCTGGATCTTTGTATGTGGATAGCATGCAGAGGGTCCTGATCATTCTGTCCTATAGAGGGAGATGGTCTAATTTAGATCCTGAGCTACATTGCACAGCTACTCAGGTTGAAAACTGATGGCTGGAGATCCTGAAGGCCTCATTCCACAACACATCCAACAGGTCAGGTAAGCACACGCAGCTTGTGGAACAGTCTCAGTCCTTCACCTTCCCTGCCTTCCCAGGATGGAGAAAGCTCCCTCCCTGCCCCCTTTGTGGGTCCTATTGTTAATCCTCTCCTCCTGCATCTTTTATAATAATCCAGATCTTTTACCTCTCCATTGTGTCCAAAATTCACCATTAAACTACAAGTGTTATTTCAATCCTACTAACAATTTTAACTGTTTACAATGGTTTTTAAGATCAATTATAAATTTCCCCCATTTGTTATTAAAATTTTGGTCTTCCTGATTTCTGATTCTTCCAGTCATTTTAGCCATTTCGGCATAATCCATCAACTTGATCTGCCATTCTTCTCTGGTAGGGACTTTATCTTCTTTTCCATCTCTGGGCCAATGACATCTGCACAGCCGTGGTCGCATACATAAACAGTCTTTTCTGCTCCCTTTGGATTTTGGCACCTATAATTCCTAAAAGGAAGGCTTCGGCTTGTTTTTTTTTAAAAAAGAAAAGGTTATTTTAAACATCCCCCCCAACTCTTTGTTTCATATGGGTTTGGGTCTGCTTGTTGTTAAGTCTTCTGGTGTTTATCAGGAGCAAATAAAACTCATTACATTTTTGTTGTTGTTGTTCCTCGCCAATAAGTAATATTAGCAACATTTCTCAAAGGGGGTGGGCGGGCTACATCTTTCTAACTGTATGGCAATGGGAAGTTTTGTTGACTATGGTCTAAAGTAGTCTGGCCCCTTGTTCATTCATAGAACAGTTAACCATCACTATACAAACCCCCACCCCACCCCCAAATAAAATACCTGTGGAACCAATTTTTTTTAAACGGGGGGAAGATGAGCCTTTTTTGAAATTGGATGGCAGTGTAAGGGTTAACGTCTTCTCATTCATTTCTGGCACACAGTCTCCTGTTCTTTCCATGTTTCACTGCACAACCTTGTCAGACATTCTGAATGAATGAGACTTCAAAGGTGGGTAAAGTGTGGGGAGCTACCAGTGAGAGACATTTAGAATGTTTAATTGAAATGATGTATCACCAAGCCTTCTTTACTGCAAGAATAAGACACTCAAAGAAAAGGGACAGGAATTCCTACCTTGCCTGGCCATGCATTTCAGGTGTGTCTCTTTTGGTCTGGATGTATAAAGCTTAAAGTTATTTCATGGCCAACAATCTCAGACTTTTTGCTTTGTTTTCATCACACGCTTTCAACCAAAAAATGCAAAACTTACCGAGATTGAAATAATCTTATAAAATTGATTCGATACTAATTCACATAGAACAAACTAAAGTTGTAATGATAAATTCTAATACTGTATACATATATCAATCCACACTGGGAAGTCTTTATAGCATATATAATCACTGGCAGACGGCAGTGGGGGCGGGGGTGGCAGGCCGCCCCAGGTGCCATCGGGGTGGTGCCACCATGCCCACCCCAGGACACTTGGTGCTCGCCATGCACCCCTGGGATGTGCGCCATGTGCTGCACACACCCAGGGACATGCACCACTTGCCGCACACCTCTGCAATGTGCGATGCGCCCCCCACGGGCAGTGCGTCACGCCCTCTGGGTCACTCACCAGCCACGCCCCCGGATGTACACCGCTCCCAGTGCCAGAGCAAGTAGCTTCGCCACTGTATAGAAAGGGGGAAGTCAGCAATATCAAAAGCAACACGATGGCCAGAAACAATTACAATGTGAAAAACTTGGACTAATTCAAAACATCAAAACTATCAAACTGAAGTCTCTGAAAGTCCTTAAATGAATCATGGTGCCAGACTTTACTCAGCAGAGAGCAAGCTGTGAAGCTTTGTATAGCAAATGTCCAATTCTGATGTCCAACTCTGAACTCTGCTGAACAGTGTTTCCAGATAACAACTACTGTTTCATTGAATGCTTCATCAGCCAATTAGTTCAACACTCACGAGTAGAAAGATATATAATTTCTTCATTAACCAATCTTTTTTCAAATGCACGAGAATGAAAAATACTCGGGAACAGTGCTCATGCTTCGCCACTGTATAGAATGGGGGGAGGGCAGAGAGGCGACCCAATCCGGTTATGTAGCCCAGGATCATAATCACTTTATACAGGCCATTAAGGCTCCAGTTCTCCAACATATCAGTCCTTGGAGACACTCAGCTAAAACTGCTTTGCACAGTGAGCCTAGAAAAAAATAATTTAACTGCTCCTTCAGTTGTCACTTTCAACACCTAATTTCTCAAGCCTCAAATTCTTTCCTCAAAATTCCTTTGATATCTTCATCACCACTTCCTCCTAATAATTGCAAGCTCAGATGGCTGACTGCTGGCAGATTTGAAATCAAAATAGTGAGCTATGGAGCTTGTTTGGAGGTTGTAGCAGGGGAGTGCAGCTATCATACACCATTGACCAAAGAACGGTACACTCCTTCTATCTGGGATGGTCGTAGTCTTCCACTGAGTGCGCAGCTTCGGGAGGAACGCACATGGAGCGGTGAGGGGGGAAGGGGACACCCGCCTAGCCAGCCAGATCAGCCAAATCAACCCTGGCGATCAATGGGGTGGCAGATGTCGCAGCCAGATCACCCTCACATCCAGTGAGCTATGCAGAAGTTCAGATCAGTAAACAGACAAACACAAAACAAAGAGCCCCAAAGCCCCTCAAAAGAGCCTAATGAAGACTGATGAAAATGGAGATGATGATAATAATAATAATAATAATAATAATAATAATAATAATAATTTTTATTTATACCCCGCCCTCCCCAGCCAAGGCTGGGCTCAGAGTGGCTTACAAGCAATAATAAAAACAAGTTGAATGATTACAACTTAAAAACAAAATTAAAATACAACATTAAAATATTGAAACATTAAAATATTAAAATGTAGCCTCATCACAGGAGGAGAAGGAAAGGAAAAAAGAAAGAGAGGGAGGGAATCAAATTGGCTCCAAGCCAAAGGCCAGGTGGAACAACTCTGTCTTACAGGCCCTGCGGAAAGAAATCAGATCCTGCAGGGCCCTGGTCTCATGAGGCAGAGTGTTCCACCAGGCCAGAGCCAGAGTTGAAAAGGCCCTGGCTCTGGTTGAAGCCAATCTAACTTCCTTAGGGCCCGGGACCACTAGGGTGTTGCTATTTATGGACCTTGAGGCTCTCCGTGGGGCATACCGGGAGAGGCGGTCCTGTAGGTACAAGGGTCCTAGGCCGTGAAGGGCTTTAAAGGTCAAAAGCAGCACCTTAAATCTGACCCTGTACTCTACTGGGAGCCAGTGCAGCTTGAAAAGCACTGGGTGAATATGCTCCCATGGCAGAGACCCCGTGAGGAGCCTCGCTGCAACATTCTGCATCCGCTGGAGTTTCTGGGTCAGCTTCAAGGGCAGCCCCACGTAGAGCGAATTACAGTAGTCAATCCTGGAGATGACCGTCGCATGGATCACTGTGGCCAGGTCGGGGCGGGAAAAGTAAGGGACCAACTGCTTAATGCGGCGAAGGTAGAAAAATGTCGCCTTGGCTGTTGCTGTAACTTGCGCCTCCATGGAAAGCGAGGCGTCAAGGATTAGACCCAAACTCTTAACAGAAGGCAATGGCACTAATTGGGCCCCCACAAGAGAAGGGAGTTGGTCCCTCATCCCCATGCCATCCCAACCCAGCCGTAGGACCTCTGTCTTCGAAGGATTTAGTTTCAATCGGCTCCCACGAACCCATCCAGTCACAGCTTCCAAGCATCTGGTCAGTGTGTTCGGGGCCGAGTTGGTGTGGCCATCCATCAGCAGATAGAGCTGAGTGTCATCAGCATATTGGTGACAGCCCAGCCCAAAGCTCCGGATAATCTGGACAAGGGGGCGCATAAAGATGTTAAAAAGCATCGGGGAGAGAACTGCGTCCTGTGGCACTCCACACACCAAGGAATGGCGCGACGACATTTCCCTCCCTAGTGCCACCCTCTGTCCCCGACCAGAGGTAAAAGAGCACAGCCAGTTACGGGCTATGCCCTGTATCCCCACGTCTGCGAGGCGGTGGTCCAGAAGATCATGATCGACCATGTCAAAGGCTGCTGACAAATCTAAAAGGATCAGCAGTCCTGACCCGCCTCGATCCAGTTGTCTACGGAGATCATCTGTTAGGGCAACCAGAGCCGTCTCGGTCCCAAAACCAGGACGGAAACCAGACTGAAATGGATCTACAGCCAATGTTTCCTCCAGAAACCTACCAAGCTGTTCAGCAACCGCTCTCTCAATTACCTTACCCAGGTATGGAAGATTTGAAACTGGGCGGTAATTGGATAGGTCTAAGGGATCTAATGAAGTTTTCTTTAAGAGCTGCTTCCTTCAGTTCCCCTGGGAATGTCCCCGTGTCAAGGGACAAATTGATAATTTCAATGAGGGGTGTCCGCGCAACATCTGGACACTCCCTAATCAGCCAAGATGGGCACAGATCAAGGAGGCAGGTGGTGGGCCTACCAACTTGGAGGAATCTATCCACATCAGCAGGGAGTAGCCAGTTGAAGATGTGAGGCATTCTTTATTAAGAATATCACACCAGTGAAAAGCCTATAGAATAATGGCGAAGCATGCAGCATGGTAGTCAACTAAGCTGTATACAGCGTAAACCCATTGAAATGGACAATTGTGGCTAAGCTAGACCCATTAACTTCAATGGGTCTTCTCTGAATAAAGCTTAGTTAAATAAAACCCACAATGTTGTATTTGCATTGCATGTTTAATTTAGCTTTATATGGCATAATGCCTCATTTTCCTGTAGTGATAACAAGGCATTTAGTTCACAAAATGGCCATATGTTCTGCTAAGAAAATGAACTGATGACTCTTATTATCTTAAGTACAGAAACAATTATTGAAATGTTTTCTTTTGCTTAAAATTATTATTGGAGTAAGATTACCGTGATTAACAAAGCAACTGCGCTCTGAATAATATTGGATTGATTTCCTATGGATTACTGTGCTGTACCACAGCTGAAATATTTTGAGCTGATGTTCTTAGAGGAGTGAGAATCAACAGTGCTGCAATTATTTTATTTGGGAGGGGGAACCTTATTTTCCATCCCATCACCTTCATTATGGTAACCCCATAATCTTCAGTTGTAATTCCCCAGCTCCAAGGGGAGGATCTGCTCCCAACACGGACAATGGTTTTTTTGTTTATTTCATTTTTTTTAAAAAAAAGACAGAATAAAATCTCATTTTTGCATCCTGATCAATGTATCACTTCAAGGATATTAAGCATTACTCATAGCTCCAAGAGACGTTCTGTCTGCTTTTGTAAACATTACAAAGATGTCTAAATCTGTGCTATTAATAAAAATTAAATGCCCTGCTCCTGTGTTTCCATCTGCTAAGTTTCTTGGTATGCCTGTGAAATGTTCCCCATGTTGCTGCGAAAAAGGACCGAGCATAATCCCTCTTCCTTACTTTCCCTTCACTTCCTTATATGAAGCTGCTTTTCCAGTGACTCAGACCATTGGTCCATCTGCCTCAGAACCACCTACTTTGACTGTTAGCAGATTTTTCAATGATCAGTCATGTGGTGGTCTTTATCAGCTATGCTATCTTTAACTAGAGGTATCAGGGACTGGAACCCAGCACAAAACAACAAAATGTCAAATAGGGAAGAAGCACAAAATTGAGCAGTTCGCATTACCCTCAGCGATGGATCTGGGTATCCTTATTTCTGCATTGTCACAATATATAATAAGGGGAACGAAGTCTTTTCTATAAGGCATTTGTTAATCAGAGTCTATATTAAGATTCACAACTTATTGGAAGATTATTAAAATATGGAATGTAATATTAAATTGCTACCCCCCCAAAATATTATTAGCATGCAATGTACTTCTGATCTGACTGTGTAAGATAAAGGCTGACCTTGATATATAACCATGATTCTATTTGGCGAGAATCGTGAAAAGCCTAAACAGTTGGGAGGAAGCTTGTCTAAAGGACCATCTTCACCCATCTTCACCCATCTTCACCCATATTTATTTGTCCTATTTGATTATTAAAATATTTATAGGCTGCTCCCTTATATAAAATATCTAGGCAATGTACGGGTACAATGAAACATAAGGTAAAGTAAAGGGACCCCTGACCATTAGGTCCAGTCGTGGCTGACTCTGGGGTTGCGGCGCTCATCTCGCTTTATTGGCCGAGGGAGCCAGCGTACAGCTTCTGGGTCATGTGGCCAGCATGACTAAGCCGCTTCTGGCGAATCAGAGCAGTGCATGGAAACACCGTTTACCTTCCCGCCAGAGTGGTACCTATTTATCTACTTGCACTTTGACTTGCTTTCGAACTGCTAGGTTGGCAGGAGCAGGGACTGAGCAACGGGAGCTTACCCCGTCACGGGGATTCAAACCGCTGACCTTCTGATCGGCAAGTCCTAGACTCTGGTTTAACCCACAGCGCCACCCGCATCCCCAATGAAACATAAAGTATCACAAAAAAACCCAATATGAAGCAGTTATCTTTCCATTTTATTAAGATAAACTAGAGAAGCTGGCAGGCACTTTTTCTTTTTCTATTTTTTTTACATAGGTTCAGCTGTTTCTCAAGGTCTAATCACAAAACCTGGGACAAGGGTTCCGAAGGTGGGGCCAGCAGACTTTGTCACTGAATAGTGGGTGCCAGTTTAAATCAAGTTGGTGGACTTAAATATGACTTTGATGTGACTTACTTGGAATAGATTTGGACACCTCTTGAGATATCGCCACCAAACTCAACATGAGGGCTGCTTAAAGTGCAGGCAGCAGTCTTCACTGACTTTTGGGTGCTGGGCACCATTTTGATTCAAGATGGTGGGCTGAAATTTGACTGTGGTGTGACCGCCCATTTTTTGGGTGTGATGAGTCCAAACTCACAGATTGCATTGTGCATTTAAATAACACGGTACTTGTGGGTTTTTACAAATCCCCAATCTGGGCACTCCCCACTAATTTTAAAGAAATAAATAGTATTAATGCTGAGGTAAATAGTGGTTGTTTTTGGTGATTGATCCTTGGGTGACCTTCTGTCATACACATGCATATTTCTGTGCACAGTGATGCAAATATTCTTTGACTGAGGTTGGCATTAAAGAATAACCTTTTTTCATTATGCACTGGCTTTGTGGTAGTCTTTGGCTGGTGAAATGAATAGTCTTGATGTAAATACAGGGGTTTTCTTTTAAAAAAATGTACAGAGTCATTCTGTGAACCAGCTGTCTGCCTGGAGGCTGCTTTTTATTTTTCATTTTTTTACATTTATTAGTAAATTTGGATCAGCTGTCCACAGTCGGATTGAAGGAGGCAGATTGCATTTGAAAAGCAGTCAATATCATTTGTTTGTATCGTAATTTTCCCCACTTCCCATTAATTTCCCAGGCTGTAGGCACTGGCAGTTGCAGTACAGTCTGGCTGTGTATAGTAGATATAATACTATAATGCCAAAAGGATTTCCTGTACAAAAATAAAAGTGCAAAGGTTCCTCCCCCCTTTTCTAGTTTATGAATGATTTCCGTGTGTGGATATGCAGTGTTCAAAATTGGTGCCTTAAAATGCATTCATACATCTGAAACTCCTAAAAGGGCAATAAAGGTCAAAAGCA